CGGCAGGCCAACTCTGAGACGATATAACAGCTCTTTGGACGCGTTACCAGGTTTGTTATGATGTAATATTCGGTTAATAAGTTAACAAAACTATCTGTCAATGTCTCTTGTTAACCCATTAGCTTGCAATGCACCCAGATGTGACCTACTTTAGTATTTTACTCTGTCTAATGTCAGATGATTTTACTCAACAGTGGAAGAATATTGTCAGTTAATAAGTTAACAAAACTATCTGTCAGTGTCTCTTGTTAACCCATTAGCTTGCAATGCACCCAGATGCGACCTACTTTAGTATTTTACTCTGTCTAATGTCAGATGATTTTACTCATCAGTGGAAGAGTGCTGTCGGTTAATAAGTTAACAAAACTATCTGTCAGTGTCTCTTGTTAACCCATTAGCTTGCAATGCACCCAGATGTGACCTATTTTAGTATTTTACTCTGTCTAATGCCAGATGATTTTACTCATCAGTGGAAGAGTATTGTCAGTTAATAAGTTAACAAAACTATCTGTCAGTGTCTCTTGTTAATTTGCAACGCACCCAGATCTAACCTACTTTAGTACATACCTCGCTCCTCAGTACTAAAACCATTCATCTATTTCTTAGACTGCGAAGAGCATGGTGAGAAACTCAAGCTTTATTGCAACGAATGCAAAGTGGTTTGTTGTACTTTCTGTGAAATCGAAGGCAGCCACAAAGATCACAAAACTCTCCATATTCACGAAGCCGAAGACCTCGACAAGAGAGGTCTGTGTCGTTTGCAGCAAAAAGTTGACGAATATGGCGAGAAATATATAAAATCTCGTAGCGACGTTCAAAAATCTATTGAGGAAACGAAACGAAACGATATTCGAGTTCAGGATCTTGTTAGAAGGTATTTTCGTGAGCTGAAGACGTCGATTGATCATGGAGAGAAAATCATCTTGGAGGAAATTGATAAGCGAAATAAAGCCACTTTAAGATCGCTTAACGAACAATTGAGGTAATGAAAACCCTGTAATACACCTCGCAAATATCGGCGCTTTTCTAATACAGACATCTCTCTAATACAGACTTTTCTTTCTAATACAGACATCTCTCTAATACAGACACCTCTTTAATACAGAGACCTCTCTAATACAGACATCTCTCTAATACATACAGACTCCTCTCTCTAATACAGATACCTCTCTAATACAGACACCTCTCTACTACAGACATCTCTCTAATACAGATATCTCTCTAATACAGACATCTCTCTAATACAGACATCTCTCTAATACAGACATCTCTCTAATACAGACATCTCTCTAATACAGACATCTCTCTAATACAGACACCTCTCTAATACAGACATCTCTCTAATACAAGCACCTCTCTAATACAGACATCTCTCTAATACAGACATCTCTCTAATACAGACACCTCTCTAATACAGACTTTTCTTTCTAATACAGACACCTTTCTAATACAGACACCGTTCTAAAACAGACATCTCTCTAATACAGACATCTCTCTAATACAGACACCTCTCTATACAGACACCTCTCTAATACAGACATCTCTCTAATACAGACATCTCTCTAATACAGACATCTCTCTAATACAGACTTTTCTTTCTAATACAAACACCTCTCTAATACAGACATCTCTCTAATACAGACACCTCTCTAAAACAGACATCTCTCTAATACAGACATCTCTCTAATACAGACATCTCTCTAATACAGACACCTCTCTAATACAGACACCTCTCTAATACAGACCTTTCTCTAATACAGACACCTCTCTAATACAGACACCTCTCTAATACAGACACCTCTCTAATACAGACATCTCTCTAATACAGACACCTCTCTAATACAGACGCCTCTCTAATACAGATATCCCTCTAATACAGACACCTCTCCGATACAGACACCTCTCTAATACAGCCACCTCTCTAATACAGACACCTCTATAATACAGACACCTCTCTAATACAGACATCTCTCTAATACATATAGACGCCTCTCTAATACAGACATCTCTCTAATACAGACATCTCTCTAATACAGACATCTCTCTAATACAGACATCTCTCTAAAAGAAACACTTCTCTAATACCGGCATCTCTCTATAACACAAACACCTCTCTAATACAGACACCTTTCTATTGCATGCTAAGATTCTACAAATCTACGACTATCTTCTCTTTTCAGTTCAATGATCGAGATTTCAAGCCGTGCAAAAACCGCCAGTCGAAAATGTGACGAAATTTTAAGTCTGGACTACTTTGGCTTGATGGACGCCAAAAAAGACGTTGAAAATGACGTCAAAAATGTCCTTAAGATGGAATGTAAGACTGTACCATGTGTTTCTTCCAAACTTCTCTGTCAGTTTCCAAAACACGAAACATTACTCAACGAACTAAGAACTTGTGCAAAAATTGTTGCAGGTTGGTGGAAATAATCTTAGATCCGTCTGAAAATATTGATTTTTGCCGATATATTATAATTGAAATTATTTTGAATTTAGTTCCAGACGCACCAGTCCAGTTGAGTTGTAAACTAATTGAGCCAACTGTCATATCTGTCCAGTGGAGTCCACCTTCGGCGAGACCGTTCATCTATCCAGTACAGGAGTACCTTTTACAGAGTGATACAGGTAGGACACATTAAACGATCAGTTCTAAACTGTTCTTCCTAGAGGTCCAGTAAGGATCATCTCTTATTGATCCAGTGTTACTACAGGAGGAAACCTAAACTAAACTAACTTTATTTATACTGGATAGCTCTATCAGTTCTAAACTGTTCTTCCTAGAGGTCCAGTAAGGATCATCTCTTATTGATCCAGTGTTACTACAGGAGAAAACCTAAACTCACGTTCCTTTATTTTGCAATGTAGGTGGAGAAAATGGATATATAGATTTGCATAAAGGCAGCTCAACAAGTGTTTCAGTCAACACACAAGATGGCAGTATTTTGGGTGATGTGAAATGCAAACCAGACATGCAAATGAATCAACTGCAAAATCGCGTACAATTTCGAGTCGCCGCTATCAACATTGTTGGACAGAGTCATTGGAGTTCTCCATTTGCCATTCGAGTGCCTGGGCAATGATCGCAAAATATAGAACTGGAGTTTTGTTTTGCATATTGGATTCTTTAATAAGAATTAAAATTTTTTATTGAAAATTGCAAATGAGCGTGAATTGTGTCTTTAGAATATTGTTGATTATAGATATACAGTGGTGTAATTTTTAAATGAAGCTAGAATTACAAAAATTTTTGAAGCAAATTATCATTATCTATTAGAAATATTTAGGTCTAAATTTATAATCAATGATAAAAATGTATAATGGTAAAAATATTTGTCCATTGAAATTTTCCTCACATGACTGGTGGGCTGTTTGTAGCGAGATAAAGTTCTTTCAGTTCAGTTCAGTTCAGTTCAGGAAGGATATATAAAAAGGAAGGATATATGAAAAGGAAGGATATATAAAAAGGAAGGATATATGAAAAGGAAGGATATATAAAAAGGAAGGATATATAAAAAGGAAGGATATATAAAAAGGAAGGATATATGCACAGTGTTGTTCTGACAATGCATATAAGAGGAACTCCCACTGTATTTTACTATGCGTTGCTGAATGGTGAAGAAAAGACCACTGTGCATAGTTGTCGAGCTTCTAATGTGGTAGGCATATCACTCCAGACGTTTATACCAAGAACGCATCTTTCAACTGTGTTAAGGTTTCCCAAACTTCCTAACGCGACAACCTCACCTTGTCCTTGTTGCTGTACCTGAATGGTATGTCTGACAGCTGTACAACCACCTCTTGGCTGCTGCATTGGAGTCAATGGCATCGTTATGCCTGACGTTACGTCGTATGAGATGACGGTGTTTAATTCTTGACCACCAGCATCGACCCCTCCCAGAAGTAGGACTCTGTTTGACCAAATTATTGTCGCCATTCCTTGCACGCTGTAAGGTAAACTTTCAACTCTTTGGAGACAAGTGTTGGTGCTAGGGTCATATACCAAAATCTGATTGTATGGGTTAGTGAAGCCTCTTCCTCCACCAAAGATGAATATTCTACCGTCAATCATCTCAGCGCCATGCCATGACATTGGTTGAGGGAGATTACACAAAATTCTGGTGGGGTAGGGGTGTGCGAGGTCAACTTCATAGATTTTGTTTGAATTCCCCCCAGTTCCAGGATCACCGTTGTCGTCATTTCCCCCGATGACTATCAACTTTCCTTCACGAGCAACCGTCTGATGAGCACACAGTGGAACAGGCAGTCTCGCGTCAGAGGTGATCCATTGCGGTGGGGTTTCATCAAGATCTAATATTTCAATAGTATCTGTTCTTCCTGGGCCAGTATCACCACCACTGACAACAACTTTATGATCGATGGCAATAGCAGAATGAAGGTAACGGGGAAGATTCATTTTTGGTAACGTGATCCAACTTTCTTCATGGATGTTGTACGCTTCTGCAGAGCTCAGGCTTTCCCCGCTTTGACTTTGACCGCCAGTGACTATTATAAGAGGTGACCGCCAGTGACTATTATAAGAGGTATACCTGATAGATTCTGCCATATTATAAAAAGTAAGAGATCTAGATTCATCTACACTTTCTGAATTCGCTGACCCATAACGTGATTTGCTACGTCGTAAACGGAATATTCGCCTTATCAAAGACATCGCCTAAACGAAGAGGATTGAATGGAATTAGTATTTTGTTGATTTCATTAAGCCCTTGATAATCACAAAACATTTTTATTACCATGCAGTTCCAAAGCTAGGTTCAGGGCCTTTTTTAACTATATAACTGGGGGTGCGTTCGCCCCCTCATCCTGTCACTCAGCCCCCCCCCCCACTGACGGGTTTTCGCCCCCCCCCCAGTGAATGAGATATTTTCCTTTTACAAAGCAATAAAAAGTTAAGAAACATGTGAAAGTAAATTTTTTCTTGATATTAAATGACCTTTGTAATTTCCCTTACTGAGAAACGTAGAGCCTTTGTTGAGTTGTTTGTTTATATTCTTTTTCATGTTAAATGAATTTTATTTTATTTTTACGTTTTATATTTTTCAAAAGCAAATAAATTTTAACTTATCAAAATTTTCTTGTAGATTGCATTAAAATAATAAATTTTGATTGGTCTAGCGTCCATAGATTCCAAATTTTGATCCCAGAATTTAATTTATATGCTTCTGAAAACTGAAAATTCGCACCGCGTTGCCGCTTCGCGTCCGGTCTGTGTCGACCTTTACGCTTCTAAGCGAAGTGCAGAAAACGAAACAAACTTCCGAAGAGGCAAGTAAGTGCAAAAAAATCACTTTAAAAAAATACAAAGTCCCTTTAGTCATTTTGCCCCCCCCCCCCACTAAAAAATTCTAAAAAAAGGCCCTGGCTAGGTTTGTTGCTGTTATAGGTTATGATCAATTATGAGGTTGATAACGACAAAATATTTTGTAGGGACTCTCAAATAACAATGATTAAATTCGGTTTTCACATGATATTATTAAAACTATCAAGCCTCATTTTTGCAGTTTTGTCGTTTTCAACCAAGCGTCCGGTAAGTTTCAAAACAGTGACGTAATGTATCAATCAAATCGCTTCCATATATTAAACTGGGGCCGGTTGTTCGAAAGGCGTTTAGCTTAAACGGTGGATAAGCCAAAGTTTAAAAATACTCTCATACATCTTGTGAATGATTAAACTTCAACATCTGAACTGAACATCAAAATATTTCAGCTCAGTTGTTCAATAAATCGATAATTTTGTTTTCCATTTTGAACTTATCCTCCGTTTAAGCTGAATTAACGCCTTTCGAGCAACCGGCCCCTGCAATGGGGCCTGTTTCAAGGCTTGTGGCTTATTCTCAAGTTTAATAATATTGCTATATTGCTATATACTTTTATAGCTACATATAAGTATTTCGTCCAGCCGTAAAACACGTCACTATCGAGAACCTTAATTAAGTAAATGATTTATTAGCTGCCAGGCTCTTTCATGTAGGAAAACTCCAACTAACTGGTCATATAAATATGTATGCGCTGACCATACAATGCACGAAAAATTCCAATATTGAAATTTCATTGTATGGTTGGCAAGTGATCTGTCGCCAGGCAACAAGAAATCACGTGATTGATTTCGACCAATCGCGTGAGTAGATTTAGGCCATTACACGAAGATTGTATATTAAACAACATCACACAAGTTCTTTATTTTCTTTGTTTTCTTGATAGCATTAATGATAATTTGGCTTCAAATATTTGCATATCTAAAAACTCTGTAGGAGAAACAAATTTGTTTCAAGATGACTGTCATTAAATACAGTCGCCATATTGTCATATTAAACACAGAAAAAATAACCAATAGAGCTGAAAAGAAATCCTGAAATCAGTAAAATTCGAAAGCTTGGCTTGTAAAAATATGAAGGAACGCCACACCAGTATTTACTAACTAATTTCAACTTATATTTTGTACGAAATGAAGCACAGTTGATCTAAAACGAGTTGTACTCACCAATCAAAGCACACTGAATCTTTCACGGACAAAAAAGTCAGAAGTGGGTTCCGTTTTGACGAAGAACAGGAAATTATATTGTGCTGGAATTTAAGAATTGCAATAAGTTAAAAAAGACATCACTCTAGTTTGCAAATTTATTGTAATATTGATCTATACTTACTTATCAGCACGAAATTGAAAATTATTAATCCTACAATTGCAATGTCAGCCGAAAAAATATACTTTGGAGACATGGAACATTGGTTTTGACAAGAGAAGCAATTAATACACACGCAATTTCATTCCTGTAAATGAATAAACAGCTCAAAATGTACAATTTACCGAGAAGCTCGCTAAAATGATCTTGCTGGAAGTTTATTGAACTCAGTAACTATCAGGGGCCAGTTGTACGAAAGCCGGATAGCGCTATCCACCGGATAGTGGTTTTTTTAATCCCCTCAAAATCGCCCGTTGTTTGGTATAACTTCGATTAAATCTTAGTATTCCTAAATTAAGGATCCTCGTTAACGATTGTTGGTTCTAAAGCTGAAATTTTATTGCTTTTCAAGTATCTTTAGAACGGTTGAAAAAGTCACTATCCGGTGGATAGCGTTATCCAGCTTTCATACAACCGACCCCAGTCCGACAAATTAACTATAGAAAATACAATTTCTAAGGAAGAATTTATTTGGAGTAATTGTTATGTATATTCTCTTTGATTTGCATTATTTTGAAAGACAAATGTAGAAATATATCGATATATATATAACGAAGACAGACGGAAACTCAATATAAATCTGAGCAGTTCCAGAGAAGAATCATGCGCCGTAATTTCGAAATATCTTACCCAAATTCAGTTTTCTGCCAGCACTTCCTCAAATCACTTTCATAACAAGCTCTGCAGGAATGCCTCTATTATAATATGTATATTCGTGGCAGCCTAAAGATACCCGGAAAACAACTCATAACCATTTAACCGTAGATCCTTTGCGGGGGCGACTTTTGAAACATTTCACAACATTATTGTTGGCTTTTGAATAAATTTCTTGGATCAAACTCTCTACGGCTAGTTCGATGAATCAAACTCTCTACGGCAACCAAAATTTAGAAAACATTATAACATTATGTAACAGACGATTCGTCTTCAAAAATATTAAATGTTGTATTGGAAAGCGCACAATTTAAATGGTCGCTCGTTTTATAGTAAACATATACTTGCAGGAAGGTGTGTATATGTGTAGCGAGATGGGAAAACTTCGATTTGAGAAATTTCCAGAAATCTGAGAAAAATTTCCAGAAATCTGAGAGAAATGACAGGCGATATTTAAAGAAACTACTCCGTGAGGATTTGGATCAATTCAATAAATTTTGTTCGAAATTCCTTCATTGTAATTGCCGATGTAGATTAATTTATTGTTATAGAAAAGTGTCTGACAACATTGCAATTAACTGTGTTGTTGGGCAGAGGTTCTGGAGTTCCCGTTTTCTATTTGAGTGGCCGGGCAGTGATCGCAATATATAGAACTGGAGTTTTGTTTTGGATATATTTATTTAATGTAGAAGTACAACGAGAATCCTAAGAAGTAGTAAAACTTGTCTCAAAAAAATGTTTATAACGTTAAATATGATACATTATGAGTTGCATAATATTGTGAAAGATTATATCATTTAGAAATATTATATTAACGTCTTAATGTGTATAATGACAAAAATGTTTAATTTTAGAAATGTTTGTGGAATCAAGGATGAATCAAGTTCATTTGAATTCATCCTTAACGATCCTGCTTTGTGATAAATGCAGAACAGTTCTATGTGGTAATCATTATTACAAAATAAAATGTATATAACGCGTGTTCTGATTGGTCGAAGCCCAATCACGCCATCTAAACACTAAAGCCATGAAGTAATTGTTTAATATTCAAGCAAGGAATTCTTTCTTTCTACCAAGTTATTTTGTAACGAGTTTTATCGTAGAGGATATCTTCACTCGATGAAGTCGAAAATTACTGGGGATACGACCATTGTGCTGCGTTCGCGAGGGTTATTTAAGGGAGGCATATCTTGCCAGGTTCCGTCTCGGAAATCGTAACGTTCCGGGCTCCTAATATTTCGCCGCGAACTCCCCAAGACTACTATAAACCCGGTGGTTTGGTGACTCACAGCACAACAACTACCCCTCTTCTCCTTCATCGATGGTAATGGATAGACCACTCCTGTCTGAGGATTGTACGCGATAACTTGATCCAATTCTTCTTCATTCTGATCAATACCTCCCAGCAACATCACAATGCCCAACTTAAAAACCGTCGCCATTCCATGAACTGCGTAAGGCAAACTTTCCATCACTCTGAACTCTCTCGTAACCAGATTGTAAACCAAGACCTCATTATTTGGCGCGGACACATTTCTTGTCCCACCAAAGATGAAGATTTCGTCGCCGATCAACTCTGCCCCGTGCCCCGCCCTTGGTTGGGGCATTGAACACAAAGTCTTGGTGGAATAAGGTGGGGTCAGACAAACCTCGTAGATCTTGTCAGAATTAAATCCTTCATCACCATTATGTCCACCGATTGCAATCAACCTTCCTTGATAAACAACCGTCTGATGACCTGACAAGGGAACAGGTAGCTTCGCAGAAGATGTTTTCCATCTTAAAGGAGTTTCACCAAGATTCAGAGTTTCGATGGTGTCGGTAATCTCAGCCCCAGTATCCCCACCGCTCACAACAATTTCATTACCAACAACGACAGATGACATGAACGAACGAGGGATGTTCATTTCAGGCAGGGGAACCCGTTTACCGCCATGAAATATATATTTCTCGACAGTTCTAAGAATTTCTCCATCTTGTCCAACTCCACCAATTACAAAAATATTTTGCGTCACAACGGATCTACCAGGTGCTGTCTGCGCATGTGTATCATCTCTTCGCCTGTGTATCGTCTCTTCTAACTGCACTTCCCTAAGTCTCGACTTCTTTTCCTTTAAATCTTTTTTCTCAACTTCAAACTTCATCAGCTCTTCCTCCGCCTTCTGCAACCCCAACTCTTCCTCTTCTTTCTCAAACTCCAACTCTTCTTTCTCAAACTCAAACTCTTCTTTCTCAAACTCAAACTCTTCTTTCTTAAACTCCAACTCTTCTTTCTCAAACTCCAACTCTTCTTTCTCAAACTCACACTCTCCTTTCTGAAACTCCAACTTTTCTTTCCGAAACTCCAACTCTTCTTTCTGAAACTCCAACTCTCCTTTCTGAAACTCTAACACTCTTTTCTAAAACTCCAACTCTCCTTTCTGAGACTTCAACCCCATCCTATCCAGTGTCCGCTTCACGCTTTCTAAATGCAACTCAATTTCTCTTTGATCGAACTTCTTAAACGCCAAATCCCGCTCCTTTCTCTTTTGACCCAACTCCATTCTCTTTTGACCAAGATTCATTCTCTTTTGACCCAACTCCACTCTCTTTTGACCAAGCTTCATTCTCTTTTGACCAAGCTTCATTCTCTTTTGACCAAACTTCATTCTCTTTTGATCAAACTGTATTACCGCTGAACCCCGCTCTATTTCCTTCTGTTTCAATTCTGTCGACGCCGATTCCATCTTAATTTGTTTCAATTTTGGTTCGTTTTCCCCTAATTCATTTTCTAACTTCTTTATATTTGACTCCAACTCCAAATCCCTGGATTGCAACGTCATTCGTGCTGAATCCTCTTCCTCCAGTTTTACTTTCAAATCTTTATAATCAAATCTCTTCATCTCGAATACTCTATTTATTTCCTTGAGCATCATTATACATGATTCAAGGCTGTTCATATTATCACGCACCATTCTTTCCTCCAATTCCAACTCCACTTTCTTTGTTTCTACCCTTGGTCTCTTCGATTCCAACTTCACTTTCTTTGTTTCTAACTTTTGTCTCTTCGATTCCAACTCCACTTCCCATTTATTTGTCTTCGATTTTAACGCACCTAAGTGACCTAAACCCTTCTCGTGATAACGTATCATTTTCCTTGATGAAATCTCTTGTGTTCTTGGTTCTAACCAAGTTCCTTCTTTTCCCAACTTGACGTCATGCCCTGCAGACTCAGGATATTCTTTCCTTAATTGCAATTCTTTTGAAGAGCTTTCTTCTCCCTTCCCACGTTCCATTTTAATTCTGCAAATCCCACGAATCGGTTTCTCAATTTCTCGTTACAATTTCATTACCATCATTCCAACTGTAACTTTCGCTTTGAGGTCGTTTGGATCTTATGCCTCGTCAAAGTTTTGTTGTGATTTTAAATCTTGAAGAACTTTTCCACTGTTTTGAAAATTCGTTGTGTGATTAAGACAGACTACCTGAAAAATTAAACAACAGTAATCTCACGCTAGGCCTATTGTAATGATCCCCGAGCCGGTGCGAAGCACTGCACCGGGCGAGGGAACTAATTCCGCCCGCAGATTTTAATTACGCCCAGGGAATGCAAATGCGAAATGAAAGTTGTCCGCCATGGACGTTGGGCGTTTTTGTAAGTTATGCGCATGCGTGAGTTTAAGACGAGTTAAAACTGGTAACTAGCAAACGTTTAGAAACGTGCGATTGGCTACATTAAAATTTGGGTCACGTCAGCATAACTGATATTTTGAATTATAAAACTTTTTTTTAAATATTTTTCATTTTGATGGTCTTAAAAATATACGAAAAATTGACTCGTAAAATTGATTAAAATATAATGTAAGAGATGCCTTCGGATAGAAAAACTTTCATTCAAATGGATGGTAAAAAATCTACGATTTTGAAGCATTTTTAAAGTGTTTTTGAGCAGGTAAATGGGTAGATTTTGTATTTTAAAGCATGTAAGTATTTTGTAAGTTTGGATTTATCAACAAATGTATGACACCTCTTTGAATTTATTCGTCAATTTTGTTGAAATTTTAAAGGTGAATCTGTTTAAAAAGTAATGAAATTTCGCTAAAAATTGTAGTATTTAAAACTATTCGTAGCACAATTATGATTATAGTCGAATTTGACAGCTCGAGAGTCGACTTTATTATTGTACCAAGATATAAGATTTTACTTTACGACTTCGATCATTCAGCAGAAACGAGTATTATAGAATTTCAGTGATGGAAATATAGGTTCATTGCTTCAGGCGAGGGGATTTTGCATGCAATGTATTTCTAGTGAGCATTTAATCCAGCTGTAATTACCTAATGAATAATACCGCTTCCTGTTTACATAATTGTACTCGTGCACGTACGGAGCAGAGTTGGTAGATATGCAAATATTTGAGGCCAAATTGTCATTAGTGCTATCAAAAAAACAAAGAAAACAAAAGGCAAAGACAAAGGAAACAAAGAACTAGTGTGATGTTATTTGGCCTCAAATATGCAGCTATCTACCAACCCTGGTACGGAGCCTGAATTCGGATGTGGGTACAATCGATACACCCAATTACGCACGGAAAGCCAGCTAGTGCAAAAAAAAAAATTTTTGATGTCTGGGATTTCCACGTTTGTTGGCCATTTAATAAACTGTTGCTGTCTCCTGTTAAGTGCCAAGGACACATATGCATCTCTTACGACACGGGACACTGCACCCTTATCAACACCAAACGTATCCCCAACAACTTGTAAAAACCTCAATGCCACCCCACTTCAGACCAGCGACTTCAAACACACGATCGAGTCATGATTGTTACAGGAAGTTAAATTAAATATACATATATACCACAAATAATCACAGATTAGAAATGTATAGTTAATTTAACTTCCTGTAACAATCATGACTCGATCGTGTTTTTGATACTGGTTCGACGAGCAGTTCAAGGCATCCTGCATAGACAGAAACGGGGGACATGTTGAAGGCATAGGACCCTAAATTCGTTATTAAATGAACATGAATTTATGTAAATTTTGCTACATAACAGTTTGTCGATTCAATTAAATTTGCATTTTCTTTTGTCTGCAGGTCTCATTTCGAATTCCCATCGGCGAAAAAATTTTATTTCGAGCAACAATTTTTAAAACACGAGAACTCGGCCAGTTTTGGTCGTGTCGATATAAGAACGGTATAATCGCAAACTAAATAAGCTAATCTTTGTTGCCATATAAAAATTATATCGTTTACTTTAGCATTTTTCTTTAACTATACTCGAGAATTCGTAATGATTATGAATTCAATGTTATAAATGCTGAGCAACAGCTGACGTTGTTGTACGAAATTTCAGGATAATCCTGTTTTCTTCTGGTAAATTTTAACTTATCTATTGGATAGCTATCCACTCCACTATCCACGCTTCGTGCAACGCGTTTTTATCCAATGGATAACTATCCACTGAATAGCAGATTTATCCGTTGGATAAGCTATCCATCTTGCGAACATTCGGCCTCTGAGATGCACTATGGCTACAATGTAAACACAGTGGAAATGAAATGCATTTAGCATTTAAATTTTATATCATTCATATAGCCTGTTCTGCTTAAATTAGAGATACATTTTGAAGGTTGCAGCTTCATAATAACTCCTGTCATTACGTTTTAAACTCTGCTACAGTTGGAACTTTAAATACACGGCCTAACATTGTATAAACACAGCATGCATAAAAAAAATATACGCACGGTTGTGTTATAAGTCGCGTGAGATTGAATCTCAAAGAATAGTCATTCTTTACGAAGGGAAATATAAACCGTAACTCCGAGATATTAAAAGGATCGTAAACTTACCTAAATTGAATCTTTCTGAAGGGAATCAGATGTGTGAAGACTAGATTAACAGTTTACTTTCGATATCAATATCATAAATACAGCATTTGAGTTGTGGACTTGTGTTGCCTAATGAATAATGATATAATGAAATGGAAGGCGTGGTGGAAAGTACGGAGTCGGAGTACGGAGTCGGTGTACGGAGTCTTATTACGGAGTCCGCACTAGGGTCCGCATTTTCCACCGTGCCGGGGGGTTCGGTGGAAAACACGGAGTCTGTGTTAAAAGTAATTGTAAACGCCAGACATTCGCAAATATATTTTAAGGTTGGTAATTATGGTTGGTAAACTTTTAGAGGCAAACTCCTTCTGGTGATCTCGTTCTCATGGCTTTCCACCTCAAATTCCAGATCTAAAACCTATGGAACACTTGTAGGACCGTTTTAACCGGAAAAGGGCGAGACACAGACCCACCAGCCAGGATGACTTGAGGCAAGTGGTCAACGAATGCTGGCAAGGTATTGAACGTGCGACATTACAAAACCTATGGAATCAGCAAGAATAAAGGCCATTTCAGGGGCAAAAAAGAAGGATACTAACATTGACATGAAATGCATGTTTGCCACATTAACATAGGTTAAATGAATATCATAACATCTCATAGTTGTTGTGCAGCATGTATTTTTCAGTTTACTTATTTACTTTTTTCTAGTTCACTTATCGGTAAGGTTTTCTTTAGAATATTAATATATGCTGCTAAAACAATGAAATACAGTCACTGGACTCAAACTTTTGCCCCCTACTGTATATATTTGAAGCTAACTGCGAGATCTATCACGCACGACTTATCTGGAGAGAAGCGAAGTCTTGTTTTCTTATACATTTATTGCCACATTAACAAAACTGTCCACATTTACGGGAGGTGGTGGCGCGCTGAAACGCGCTACAGCAGGTAGCTGTTAGCTGTAGTTGCCTACAAGCCCAGAATCAAAATATATTATGCGAATTAGTCATTTCGCAAATTCCTATGGTTGAAATGAATAAGTGATAATATCACTGTATGATAATGAATGTGTAACGGAATATGTTTCGCAATAATTGATAATTTGATATTTATGCTTTGAGAATTGTATATATGTTTTAAAAAGGTTTTGAGGAATAGTTTAGAACTGATTGTTAAGCTATCCAGTATATAAAGCTAGTTTAGGTTTCCTCCTGTAGTAACACTGGATCAATAAGAGATGATCCTTACTGGACCTCTAGGAAGAAGAGTTTAGAACTGATAGAACTATCCAGTATAAATAAAGTTAGTTTAGTTTAGGTTTCCTCCTGTAGTAACACTGAATCAATAAGAGATGATCCTTACTGGACCTCTAGGAAGAACAGTTTAGAACTGATAGAGCTATCCAGTATAAATAAAGTTAGTTTAGTTTAGGTTTCCTCCTGTAGTAACGCTGGATCAATAAGAGATGATCCTTACTGGACCTCTAGGAAGAACAGTTTAGAACTGATAGAGCTATCCAGTATAAATAAAGTTAGTTTAGTTTAGGTTTTCTCCTGTAGTAACACTGGATCAATAAGAGATGATCCCTACTGGACCTCTAGGAAGAACAGTTTAGAACTGATAGAGCTATCCAGTATAAATAAAGTTAGTTTAGTTTAGGTTTCCTCCTGTAGTAACACTGGATCAATAAGAGATAATCCTTACTGGATTTGTTTCTTCCGTTTGTTTTAGGTTTGAATTGTATTACAACATTCCAACAGCTGGGAAATTTGCCCGCGCTGACCAAAATAATCGCTGGCACTTGAGCAAATAACCTCATATCTCAAAATTGAATAAAATACATGTAATGAACGCGCCAAAGCAAATGTCTTCAGCCTTCTCTAAAAATAACCCTCTTCTGTGCTACAGTTTTGAAAATTAAGGTTATCTGTTCAAGTGCAAGCGATTATCTTGGTCAGCGCGGGTTCAACATTTCATGATTCCAACGGCTTGTACGACCAATCAGAATCATTTCTGATTTCATTTATCTCAGAGGAAATCACGGGCTCGGGGAACAAGATTGGTGCTTGGGTAGTGATCGCAATATGGAGAACTTGAGTTTTATTTTTGATATATTTTAATACAATTAAAAATTCTGATTGAAAATTGCAAACGAGTGTAAAATGTGTCGGTAGAATATTGTTGATTACGATACAGTGGTTTAATTTTGAAATGAAGCTGGCATTACATTACCAGAAAGTTATCATTTTCTATGACTACGAGAAATATCTACGTCTAAATTCATGTCCAATGATAAAAATGTTTGTCCATTCAGTCTCCCTTATTCAAAATCAATTTCATTCTTCACCAATTCTGCTTTTCAAAGCACACGGCAGTTCTATTTAATAACACTTTAACAAGGAATTATTTTCTTTGCAAGTTGTGTCGTTCTATAACAAGTTGATTTGCAGAAGGTATCTTGACTACACGAAATTGAATTCTCTTGGCGACGCTACCATTGTGCTATATTTGCGAGGGAAAATCAAAGAAGGCATGCCTTTCCATCTTTTACTTCGAAAATCGTAATATTCTGTGGTCTTGATATCTCGCAAACTTCCCAAGGCCACCAGGACCTCGGTAGTTTCGTCAGATGAGCAACCAGCAATGCTATCAGGCATGACACTCCTCACAGCACAACAACTACCTCTCTTTTCTTTCATCGATGGTAATGAATTGATTTCTCCGGACTGAATGTTGTACGTGATAACTCGATCCAACTCTTCTCCGTTGTGATCAATGCCCCCCAACAATATCACTATACCCGACTGCCGAACTGTGGCCATTCCGTGCACTGCGTAAGGCAAACTTTTCATCACTCTGAACTCTCTCGTAACAAGATTGTAAACCAAGACGTCGTCATTTGGCGCGAAAACGTTTTTTGTCCCACCAAAGATAAAGATTTCGTCGCCGATCAACTCTGCCCCGTGCCCCGCCCTTGGTTGGGGCATAAAGCACAGAATATTAGTGGAATAAGGTGGGGTCAGACAAACCTCGTAGATCTTATCGGAATTAAATCCTTCACTACCATTATGTCCGCCAATGGCAATTAACTTTCCTTGATAAACAACCGTCTGATGACCTGACAAGGGTACTGGCAGTTTTGCAGAAGATGTAATCCATTGTGGAGGAGTTTCATCAAAATTCAGAGTTTCGATGGTGTCGGTTACTTCAAGTCCAGTATCACCACCACTGACAACAATTTCGTTACCAACAAAAACAGATGACATGAAGGAACGAGGAGTATTCATTTCAGGCAGAAGAACCCATTTCCCATCATGAAATACATATTTCTCAACAGATCCAAGAATTTTTCTATCTTCTCCACGTCCACCCATTACAAAAATATCTTGTGTCACGACGGATCTACTGGATGCTGTCCGAGTAGCAGGCGTAGTTTCATCCCACCCCACTTTCATTCTCTTAGGTTCCACCACGAATATGTTTGATTCTAACTGCTCACTTTTCATTCGCCTCTTTGTAACTTTCAAATGCTTTGTCTTTAGTTCCAACTCATCTTCCCTGTTTCTCAACTTTTCGAACTCTGAATCCCACTCCATTCTCTTCTCTTTCAACCACATTGCCTTCGCCTCCCACATTTTTCTCCTTTGTTCTAACTCGATTTTTTTCTTTTCCAACTCCTTTCCCCTTTTCTCCCACTCAACTCTATTCTTTTCCAACTCCGTTTCCTCCAAGCGCAATTCCATTTCGTTCACTGTTAACTCCCTTCCTACGTGTCTCAACTCTTGTAAACCCAGCTTCATTCGTATCTGTTCCAACTCAGCTCCCTCCACTTCCATTTTAATTTCCGTTCTCTTCTGTTCCAACCTTTTTTCTACCTCTGAATCCAACTCCATTACATTCTGTTTCAACTGCAATGTTAGTTTACCTAAATGAAAGTTGTTAAAATCATCAAATCTTCAAAATGTCCATTCTGTAGTCCGGGTATCTATGAAATGGTTAACAGATTACCCTTTCGAAAATAACAAAATATTATTAAAAAACGGTTTAACAGTCCCGAAATTAGTAGAATTGAAAAATGTGAGAAAAAAGTGCTAAAAAACCTTGCTAGTTTTCATAAAGTCAAAGGGTAAAAATTTCAAGTATGTTCACGCAAAACCTCCACCAACGTTTTAAGGCGACAATCGCTGCAACAAATCGCTTCGTTTGAACCATTTGGAGACAATGATAATATCATTGTACGCAAGAGCTATAATTACCCGGTCTTGGTCGTCTCGCAGCGACAAATTTGAATCGAAGCGGAAAGGTTTCCATGTTCAGACGATGAAATTTGAGAAAGAAATGTGTTATGTACGATTGTCGCTGTGTACCGGCCTTTATCAGATAATAGGGAGTTTTAGCAGTGACTACGAGTACGAGATTCGTCATTCTCGTGCGTTGTTTGCTTACGTCATAGTAGCCGGTATGGTAGAAAACGCGGGTGCGGATAGGTGGATGCGGATAGATTCTTGCGGATAATGGTAGAAAATGCGGGTAAATTTTTGCGGATAATCGTATACCTATACCTATACCTATACCTATACCTATACCTATACCTATACCTATACCTATACCTATACCAATACCTATGCCTATACCTATACCTATACCTATACCTATACCTATACCTATACCTATACCTATACCTATACCTATACCTATACCTATACCTATACCTATACCTATACCTGTACCTGTACCTGTACCTGTACCTGTACCTGTACCTGTACCTATACCTATACCTATACCTATACCTATACCTATACCTATACCTATACCTATACCTATACCTATACCTATACCTATACCTGTACCTATACCTATACCTGTACCTGTACATTCATTTGAACACATCGTGCAGTTTTTCACCTCAAACAGTTCGGCTCCATTTTGAAATAGGCATTTCGGAATAAGGGGTTCACCGTGAATGCCTCTAGTCACTTGCTAAGCATGCGCAGCAAGCAATGCGCAGTGACGAATCGCTTACGCTTTTTAGTCAGAAGAGAGACCTCGGCTCTGGGGCCGGTTGTTCGAAAGGTGGATAACTCGCTATCCAACGGATAAGTTTTATCCAGCGTGTAATTTGCGTTGCACGAAGCTTGGATAACTTTATCCAGCGGATAAAAATCGCTATCTCTTGGAGCCAGTAGTATCAAGCCCGTTTAGCTTAAACGGCGGATAAGTCAAAATTAAATAACACTCTTGAATATTATGCACTGAATATGTCATTGTAAACAGTAGCTTTGTATTAAGGTTAAAAACATTTAGTTCGCTAGTTAAATAAAACGATAGACTTGCTTTCTATTTTAGACTTATCCACCGTTTAAGCTAAGCGGGCTTAATACAACCGGCCCCTGGATAAATTTATCCAAGGTCCGGAGGTAGTTTAAATCCACTATCCAGTGGATAAATTCAAAGATACAAGATAACACTGTAAACATTTACGATAAAAAGGACCAAATGCAATATTCCTGTTACTGTGTTTCAACAAACTAATGTACATCATGATCGTACTCACTATTAAAAATGTTTTCAAAATACAATCAAGCTAATGTTTATATATTTGTCGCAGCAGCGTTTCACGTTGCCTACACATTCCGTTCGGAGCGGCGATTTGGACATCCTCATATTGATAACAGGCTGTAAATTTACTATACACTTTTAATCAGCTTATAAACGCGAGGAAAGGTATGATGCAGAGAAAGGTATAACCTATTCCAAGGAAACTTGCCAAATCTAAGTAATTTCATTCACGCAATAGAAAACTATAGACAACAATGCTACGAATTTCTGCGCTTAGATTTGTTCTCCGCTAAGATTAATTTTGTTCTCCGCTAAGATTAGCGAGAAATTAGCCAATCAAAACATTAAAATAGTGTTCCTAAATTTGTTATGGAACCGAAAGGGAAAGCGTTGCAAGGTCAAGGAATAAAATTGCAATGTCTTTAATAAAATCACTATTATGTGAAGTGCAAAGTTCCAGCAAATCACTTGTTCAAGTCTTTTCCATTCAGTAACTACTCGACTAGCATTTATCGCGCAACGTAAACCCAGTTGATCAAAAATGACAGAGTTGTGCTTACCCAGTAAAGCGGACGGAATCTTATACAAACACCAAAAGCAGAATTTCGTCTCTTTGACTTTTTGACGCACAGCAGGAAACCATATTGTGCTTGAATTTAAAAATTGAAATACGTTTAAAAACTTACCCCTACTTTGCCAATTTACAGATACTTTATCCGGACCAAATTGCTAATACTTCGAACTAGGGCTGCACTTGCGATGCCAGCCGTAATAATTTACCTTTATACAAACAACATAATCATATATAAAAGTTGAAACAGGGAACATTGGTTTTGACAACTTAAACAACGGAAGCAATCGACAAACAGGAAATTTCATTCGCTTACTTCAGTGAACGAACAGCTTAAAATATTTAATTTAGGAGCGCTGTAAATTCATTGAAGTGTTTAAGCTATAGCTCCATAGGAACTGAACAATTGGAAATACAATTTCTGAAGAAAGATATATCCGAAGTAATTTTTTTATATATAATATATCTCCTGTGGTTTGCATGATTTCAAAAGACAAATTGTAGATATATATCGATATATAACGGTAGACGGAACAGTCAATATATGCCTTAGTAAATCCTAACATAAATTCAGTTGTAATTTAGGAATGTCTTACCAAATTCATGAAGTTCTCAGCCAGCAATTTCTTCAAGAGAGTCAAGTCTCTTTCATAACAAAATCTCTGTAGGAGCGCTCATTGCCAATTAACCGTATCCTTCGCGGGGGCGACTGTTGAAACATTTCACAACATTATTGTGTTATTTTCTTTACAGATAAATTTCACGCGATGAATCAAACTCTCCGCTTGTATGTAGCTACTAAAACATTATAACATTATGTAACAAACAATGCATCTTCAACAATATTGACTAAATAGTACGTATTGGATAAAGCTTTACCCGGGTGTAATGGTAGCTCATTTAATAATGAACGTACTTGCTGGAAAGTGCATGCGTCCGGAATTTTAGCATCGAAAAAGGTTTAAACTTGTCTACAAGCTGGGAGCAAGCAGTGAGAACGTACTGCTAGTAAGTAAGTTAATTGTTGAAACAACATTGGGAAAAATCTGGTGCGGATTAGTTAGAAAACGTTTTTAAAAACATAATATAATCAGGAGCAGCGTGGCAGCGTCTTCACTCTTCAAAAACTTAGCATCAAATGTGGTATAACAACTGCCTAAAATAGACAAAACACTTCTCAACGTTTCGACCTGAGCCTGAGGGCCTTCGTCAGGAATGTTGATATGACTAACTCTTCTGACAAAGGCCCTCAGGTCGACACCTCGAGAAGTGTTTTTGTCTATTTTAAGCAGTTGTTATACCACATTTTATTTTAAAAACACAGTATGTTTTTTAAACTTTTTAATTAAATATGAAAGACAATTATAAGGTTACACTGAATATTATATTATACTAATTAATAATTAATCTATCGTTATATATTTGATGTCAAAGATTACATGATGTTCAATTACAATTACAGATATTTTCATCGAAGTAACAAAATGCTTCTTACATGATACACCCCCTTTCATTTTACTCCGGGGAAGTTATTTACGAATCAAGCTAAAAGAATTTTTATTAAATTATACTGATATGAAGGTGCGATGCATTGTGCAAATCACTGAACACTCTATAGACCCAGCGATATAAACCTACATATACATTAAAGTGTTTCTCTCTAACGAGAATTCCCAGACACTTCTCAATTAACTGAAATGTCCTATTAGATGATTTTTATCAAAATTTTGGAATTTTTCATTACACCCAATTCCGTTGGTGGAACCACTGCCGAAAAGAATTGACTTTTACCATCTGCGCGTCCGCCTAGAACATGCTCGTTTCTGAAAGTTTCGCTTTTCTTGTCAGGAGAATTTCCTTCATCGTTAGAGACCGCAGTTCTAACTCTTCCCGTCGGAATTTCATTCCCAATATCTGAAACCGTAAATGCGCTTTCCTCTCTGTAAGTTGAATCTCTAACGGTGAAGGTTCCTGTTTCCTCTTCATTGCTTTCGCTTCTGTTGGTTCCAATTTTATTCCCAATATTTGAAACTCTAATTGTGCTTTCTCTCGTTCCAATTTCATTTCCAATACTCGAAACTCCAATTGTTTTTTCTTTCGTCCCAGTTCTAACTCCATCGCTGAAGGCTCTAATGTTCCTTCCGATTGTTCCTTCTCAATTTCCTTTTCAATAACTGCCAATTCTGTCTCCATTTGTTGCAATTTCATTTCCAATATTTGAGACTCCAACTCTTTTTTCTTTCGTTCCAGTTCCAATTTCCGTTGTTTCCCCTCTGATTCTCTTTGTCCCAATTGTATATCCAATATCTGAACCTCTAACTGCATTTTTTTTCTTTCCAATCTCAATTCCTTCGCTGAGGGTTCCTCGCTTCCTTTCATTTGTTCCAATCTTTCTCCCTGATTCACGGATTTCGTCGTTCCTGCTTTTGTTGTTTCCAATCTAATTTCTAATATTTTAATCCCCAAACGTTTTTCTTCACGTTTTAGTCGGATTTCCTCCAACGAAGGCCCCGATTTTTCCTCCGTTTTTTCTCTTACAGGGGCTCCAAAAAGTGGTTTCTTTCGATTAATTTTCCCTGTCAAGATTTGGGATTGAAGATCAACTTTTCTTTTTTCCAACTCTAGGTCACTCAATGAAGACTTTTCTTCCCTTGGTTTCGACTCTTCTGAAGTTTTATCTGCTCCTTTTCCACGCTGTATTTTCAGTTCAAGAATCTCCAACTCCAGTCTCGCTATTTTTCTTTCAGTTTCACTTTCCATCGCTAAAAACGTCTCGAAAGATCAAACACTTTTTGTATTTCCTTGAGATTGTAAATGCTGACCGAAGCCCAAGCTACGCTGTCTCCAACTGTCCAAATCACCAAGATTGGACCAACTTCCTAGAAAAGAGGTTGGGATATCGGGTTAATCCAAATTCAGGCTATGTTTACACCCGCCCATTCCTTAGATTGATTGGCGAATATGAAAAATAATTGTTGAGCCATCTTCTGACAGTAAACTTGAACTATAATACCTGTCCAGTTATCTTTCTGGATCCAGTTGTTCAAAGCTAGGTTAGCGCTAACCCTCGGTTAAATGATAATCCAGTATTTTAGTTGTTGTGTTTCTCTGAACCATTGTTTGTTTTATAACTTTGGAAAAAATCGGTCCAAAAAAATAATCAAGATATTGAACTTTGTAAACAAGCGATTAAAGATTTAACCCAGGGTTAAACTAACCGGCTTTTGAACAACCGGCCCCGTAATATATATTTTTTCTTTGTGCAAAGAATTTTCAACGAATAAGAAGTAAAAAAGTCGCGTTTTTATAACTGCTAAGTACATCCAAAACACGCTATGTTTGATACCAGCGAAACGCGGAATTCTTAATAACAATATTGATTTGGGTAAACGGAACACTCGAGAAATATATTTACAAAATCAACACCCACTCAATCCCAAGCAGCGATAAGGAATTCTTTATTAAGGTGATAATAGGAGGTTATTAACTACGTAATATTATTATATAAATAAAACTCGATTTAGCTTAAATTCAATGTTCCTATGTTTGAATAAAACACATCGCATTATTTACTTTATATTTGTTCAAAGTGAAAATGTCTTGTACTGTAGAAATAGCACTGATAATTCACTACTTCTTACTGAACCCAAACTCCGAAACAATAAACTTCCGCTAGCAATTGATCGAGCAATTAATTGCATTGTTTATGATAAACGTCTAGACTATACTTGCTATCTCAAAAACTACGCAATTTCAGAAATTGTTCCAAATGATTCGTTCAGAAGGCGTTCGGTATACGAAATTCTGTTCGTAGACAATCATTTCGTCTTGTAAATGATTACACGACCCTAAAAATAACCTGTGTTTACCAGCCGAATCAGACCCGAATAAAATGCCGACATGCAGTGTCTAGTTTCGTTTTGTAAACAGAAAGTGATATCAAATTACTGAAATTTAATTACGATTTGCAAAACTTAAAGTCGTAATATTTTAATCGAATCGCTATCGACCCTACGGTGCAAATATATTTATATATTGGAGCAATATCAATAATAAATGGAAGTAATGAGAATTGTTTACAAGCTACGTCGTAATATTATTTGACGAGTTCCCAAAATTTCGACTGGCAAAACTCGACCTTTTAAACCATCTAAGATTTTAATCGAATCGCTACCGACTCCACGGTGCAAATATATTTATATATTGGAGCAATATCAATAATAAATGGCTGGTAATGAGAATTGTTTACAAGCTACGTCGTAATATTATTTGAGGAATTCATAGAATTTCGACTGCCAACACTCGACCTTTAAAACCATTTATGTACCAAATTTTACTCCTGGAAAACACTCAGCATTATACCCACGTTATCGCAAGCTCTTATGAGCTATTTCGATCGACAAAATAAACTAAAACGTATACGTTTATTGCAGTAAGATATTTGAAATATTTTGCCTGCCGTGTGCACGATTTGCAAAGGTAAATTATATAAAATATATCAATATATAACGGTGGAGTAAACTTAATATTTGTCTTCGCAAACCAGGCATGAATCAGCCATAATTGTATAAGGTTAAAATTTCAAGAAATATCTTACCGAGTTCAATTTTGAGCCAAATACGTCTTCAGACTGATAACAGCAGCTCTGCAAGAACACTTTTGTCATAACATGTTTGTAATTTTAATCAAAACATAGCAAAGTCATTATCATTGAATCGCACATTCTTTGCGGGGGCCGGAATATTGAAACATTTTACATCGCTTTTTTGTCAGCTTATGAATAAATTTCACGCGATGTAACAAAGGTTTTTAGAAGTCTCAAAAATCCCTTGAGACATTATATTATTGACCCAGCGGACAAAAAAGCCTTGTTGCATTAGTTTGAAGATGAACTGGCCGATCAAAGACGTCTGAATCTTAGGTGTTCATCGCTTTGTGCTAAGATTATTGGGTTAAAAGACTTTAAATGGTCGCCCGAATGGTATCAAGAGGAGATTTTTTATTATGTCGCGTATTTTGGCGGGAAAACGCTCAAAACCTAAAATCTTTTCGGCGTACCTCTCAAAATTCATTTATTTTACCTTTATTCTTTAGATTATGTTGTGAACTAAGTTTTGAACTGTATTTGGTGATTGCAAAACACCAAACAAAGGAGTTATTTCAAAATATAATGTGGCTATCAACATTCAACAATGACAATGTTATAACTGTCAACGCCATTATAACTGAAATGAATACAAAATAGCTTCGATTCAAGTGTCGTTTTCTTCTCGGCGTATCCCGAGAAATCTTTTCATTTTAACGATATTTTGAGATTATACAGTAAACATTCTTTGTATATTCTTTTCAGGTTTGCAAAACATTTTTAATGGTGAAGATATAAACTGCGGTTTTGAGCTCATATTAAGCGACATAGCATTGCCATTAGGTCGGTGAATGAATCGCTAACAATTGGTTCGATATAAACTCATTTCGTAGCTGTAAGCAGTGGTCCAGAAAATCTAAGACGCGATTTAAAATACTTTAATTTATTAACATTAAGTTAAGCGAATTTCACGTTGTTTTGTAAATAACTTATTATGAAATAAACATTGAATTAACTACATTGTAGTGAAATAAATACATTTATATGCAGTGTTGAGTGAATTATTATTCGAATGTTTCTAATATAGTTTTAATATTGTGATTCAAAAAGCAATAGCGATATTTTTATGTTTTATAAGGCAATAAAATCAATGATATGTGTGCAGTGTTTTCTAAATATATATAATATATAAAGGTGGATTCTAAAAATGAATATAAGACTGAGATGTTCTTTTTACTCACTGTTCTGATACTCAAATGTTCTTTTTAAACTAGAATGCTGGCTGAAAAAACGGCTGCTGTGTTGCTGGTGAATAGTTGTCGAGCTTCTAATGTGGGAGGCATATCATTCCAGGCATTTGTACCAAGAACGCATCTTTCAACTGTGTTAAGGTCTCCCAAACTTCCTAAAGCGACAATCACACCTCGTTCTTGTTGCTGTTGCTGACCCTGGATGGTATGTATGACAGCTGTGCAACCACCTCTTCGCTGCTGCATTGAAACCAATGGCCTTGTTACACCTGTCGTTACGTTGTACGAAATGACGGTGTTTAATTCTTGATGACCAGCATCAACGCCTCCCAGCAGTAGGACTCTGTTTGACCAAATTACCGCGGCCAGTCCTTGAACTCTGTGAGGCAAACCTTGGACACTTTGGTGGCAAGTGTTTGTGTTAGGGTCAAACACCGAGATCTGATTGTATGGGTTATTAGGGCCTTTTCCTCCACCAAAGATGAATATTTTATTGTCAACCATCACAGCGCCATGCCATGACATTGGTTGAGGAAGAAAACACAAATCTCTGTTGGAGTAGGGGTGTGCGAGGTCAACTTCATAGATTCTGTTTGAATTCCCCCTAGTTCCAGCATCATCATTTTCGTCATTTCCCCCGATGACTATCAACTTTCCTTCACGAGCAACCGTCTGATGAGCACACAGTGGAACACGCAGTTTCGCGTCAGAGATGATCCATCGCAGAGGGGTTTCATCAAGATCTAATATTTCGATAGTATCTGTTCTTCCTGGGCCAGTATCACCACCACTGACCACAACTCGATTGTCGATGGCTACAACTGAATGAAGGTAACGGGGAATATTCATTTCTGGTAACGGGACCCATCTTTCTTCATCGATAATGTACGCCTCTGCAGATCTCAGGCTTTCCCCGCTTTGACTTTGACCGCCAGTGACTATTATAAGAGGTGACCTTGCATTCCCTGTTCTCCCCAATACCTGCGTCGTTGCTTCTGCCTGTCTCGCTTCGGGCGCAGTGCGTGGCTGCTTCGTTTCCAAACTTCTTTTCTCCGCATTAGTGCCTGAGCGCGAAGGATGACAGGCAGGCCCCGACTGTGCCCTCAGCCTTATATTTTCTGAAGGATCGCCGCTCACATTTGACGGCATAATTTCAAGTATAACAGATCAATTGACCTAGGAAGAAAAGCACTGGATGAAAATAGTCGCTTCGTCGACTTAACAAGGCCGGTGTACAGTTCCAGTTTCCACGACTCACTGTGAAATTTTCCTCTTTTGATAGATGCAAACGAGTGAATAGTCAGGAATGCTAAGACGTGGAAGTACCTCAAATTCGAACATCCCTAACTTGTCCACTCGTTTACATCTGTCAAAAGAAGAAAATCGGAGATAAATCGCACAGAAAATTGCAAATGTAAACGGGCCTTTTACATTTGCGATTTTTTTTCTTTTGACAGATGTGAACGAGTAATTAGTTACGAATGTTTTGATGTGTACGAGCTCCTATTTGAACATCAGTAACTAATCCACTCGTTCACATCAATCAAAAGAGGAAAATCGCAGCAAAAAACGCAGCAAAATTGCAAAACCCGGCTGTTTCATAAAGCAGCTGTTTTCTACATACTAATTTCAGTTGCCATGGTAATAATGTCGTAGTGTGTTTCCCTGGTAATTAATTCATATATTTTTTTTCACAAAGAAGGGAAAATTTATCCTTTCCCCGAAATTAGAGTTATCTAATACTCTTCAGCATAGAAACACAAAATTACACAAAATTTCCTGCGCTAAAATCTTCGATGAAACTTGTCAGTATTCAATAGCCCGACTTCTACAATTCCGGCAAAATAAACAATTTAATTCCGACAGGAAAGATTTCCGTCATGAAAGTGGTATAGAGAAATTGCTGTCGCTTTTTCGAAGCTCTGAAATTCACAATTGAACAATTTCTTAAGCTTTCAATTGCAAGAATCCTAAATCCATACAATAATATTTTGTTTTAATTAAAAAAAGAAATATCTTACCGGGATATTTATAACAATGTTCAATCCCAACAGCTTCTTGTACCAATTAAACTCCTTTAAGAATATGTAGAAATTACATTTGAATCCTAAATCTTGTCGTAGAAACCTTTACTTCGCGATAACTATGAGATCAATCGTGCAAGATTTATCGGCAAATAAATAAGTAGACCAGAAGCAAAGTCTTGTTTACTTAAGACATATATTGCCCACGGCAACCAACTGTCAACATTACAACATAAAATAACTGGCACCGCGCGAAAACCCGATTGTTAGGATTTATTGTAGCTTGTGTCGACAAGAAATTCAAGAATTGAAATGAAATTTTGCGAATTATTCCTTTCGGAAATTACCATGGTTGAAAAACAAAGAAGAAGCGATATAATATCAATGCAATGTATGAAATGAATATGTAATGGAATATGTTTCATCTTGATTTATTATGATTTTAATATGTCGTGCTTTGAGAATTCATTTTGTTTAAAAAGGTTTTGAAGAACGGTTTTATAAATTATTGTTGAACTATCCAGTCTAGATTAGTTTAGTTTAGATTTCCTCCTTTAGTAACACTTGATCAATAAGAGATCATCCTTACTGGACCTCTAGGAAGAACAGTTTAGAACTGATAGAGCTATCAAGTATAAATAAAGTTAGTTTAGTTTAGGTTTCCACCTGTAATAACACTGAATCAATAAGAGACGATCCTTACTGGACCTCTAGGAAGAACAGTTTAGAACTGATAGAACTATCTAGTATAGATAAAGTTAGTTTAGTTTAGGTTTCCTCCTGTAGTAACACTGGATCAATAAGAGATGATCCTTACTGGACGTCTAGGAAGAACAGTTTAGAACTGATAGAGCTATCCAGTATAAATAAAGCTAGTTTAGTTTAGGTTTCCACCTGTAATAACACTGGATGAATAAGAGATGATCCTTACTGGACCTCTAGGAAAAATAGTTTAGAACTGATAGAGCTATCCAGTATAAATAAAGTTAGTTTAGTTTAGGTTTCCTCCCGTAGTAACACTGGATTAATAAGAGATGATCCTTACTGGACCTCCAGGAAGAACAGTTTAAAACAAAATAATTCCCACAATAATCAGTATAATGACAAAATACAAATTTGATATATCCTTACAGAGGGGGAGCTAAAATAAGCAGTGTTCTTGCCTTCCCAAAATAGTTCAAAAATCCGAATATTGACTAGGAATTTAAATAGGCCCTTTTACAACTAAAAGTTATGACCAACTTGGTCAAATATTATACTGACCAATATCTTCTAATTTTTTCGATTTCATAATTTCTCGATAATTTTTCCCAATCATTACAAGATCACTATAGGCCTGTTTTCACTTGCAATTTTTACTTTGATTTTTGTTGAGTTTGTCTTCTTTTGATAGATGTGAATGAGCGGATAGTTATAAATGTTCTGATGTAAAAATGCCCTAAATTGAAACATCTGTAACTTACCCATTAAATCACATCTATCAAACGAAGAAAATGGCGCCAAAAATCAAAAGCGAAAATTTCAAGTGTAAACAACCTTATCATACGTATCGAAGTATTGTTTATCTATAGCTATTTACGGTTCAAATCTCAGACAAATATGGTAAATGTGGAGATAAGACTAGTGAAAAAAACCCCCGAATATAGAGATATCTTCCCCATTTTCCTCACTAGAGCTGACAGCCAGTCTAGTTGATTGAACATTGTCCGTTAGACATGATTTATAAACAGCTCCATTGAGGAGGAATTGAACAGTTACTCTGACCTTATGTTGACACGTGATTCGTGATTGACAATTACTCCACCTGGTCCAGCCAATGAGGTCGTTCCCATGAGCTGCAAATCAATTTGTCTCGCGGCCTGTCTGCCTTCGGCTATCGCAGTCACGACCAAGGACTGGCCATATCTGCAGTCTGGAAAGGAACAGATTGTTTTACTACTTTGAGCTAGGTTTTGAAGCAATATAACCAGGGAACAGCGTGGCAGCGACTTCAAACAACTTAGCATCAAATGTGGTATAACAACTGCCTAAAAAGACAAAACACTTCTCGACGTTTCGACCTGAGGGCCTTCGTCAGGTACTAACTCTCCTGACGAAGGCCCTCAGGTCGAAACGTCGAGAAGTGTTTGGTCTATTTAGGCAGTTGTTATACCACATTTGATGCTAAGTTTTGAAGCGTTTTATCAGATATTTAAACAAGCCTTGCTGATTTTGCTTGACTTTGAGAGCAGTTAAAGTGATTAGAAGTGGCAAATATCAATTATTTCGTAGCTAAACTAGTTTGTCAATCACATAACAACACGATTGTAGTAAATTTCCTCTCGACTAGAATTTATATTTGGCCTTAATTTGCCGCCATTTTGGTATGCTCAGACATTAACCATTTGTGATGGATTTAACTGGATTTCATGAATTCCCAATCTAATTGAGATATGTTTGCAATTTTACAATGAACTTTAAACTTTTTATGTACTAAAAGCGGTCTGAATGTCATATGCAGAGTTAAATAAACCAATTTTCAAGCTAAAATTATCACATACAAGCACAGATTTGATCAATATGTCAAATTCTTTTTGGCCAAAGCTGTTTAAGTTCTCTATACTAAACCAAACGTTTTTTATGACTTGAGAAATACCTCTTAGGTTCATTTGAACGAGCGAGGTCTATGACAGTTTTACTGGTACAAATTCTAAGGTGTCTTCAAAATATTTTGCATTTTAGACGGTCCAGTTAATTCATACCTCCAGCGGCGAAAATCTTCGGGACGTTGGTGTTAAAATTATTCCTTTCGGTTGCAAAATTTGATCTGATATCCTGAAGTAATCAAACACACGCAATCATTAAGAGCCAATCAATATATCAAGGTATGATCGATAAATTTTTCAATCGATGAATAAATCAATCAATAGATATACATGGGTCGATCATTCGATGTATCAATAAAAAACTATCAATTAGTTAATCAATCAATAATATCGGTCAATCAATAGATCGATTTTTTTTTAAGTAATAAATATATCCATCATTCAATAGATGGATATATTTGTCAATCAATCAATTCAATCAATCAATTCAATCAATCAATATATCGGTTATTAAATAGATGGATACATTTTGGTCCATTAATCAATATATCGGTTATTCAATAGATGGATATATTTGTCAATCAATCAATATATCGGTAATTCAATAGATCGATATTTTTGTCAAGTAATAAATATATCCATTATTCAATAGATGGATATATTTGTCAATCAATCAATACATTTATCACTAAACTATTTAATAAATCACCAACTCAACGGAGAGAAAAGGTATAAAACTCTTTAAGATAACTACATTTTGCATAGTTAAATCCTAGTTAACTCAGAAATACACGAATGAATTGGCCAATTCTGTCCTTAACTACAGTTAAATTTAACTAGTCTTTCATACAACTGGCCCAGGATTATTTTCCAACTTAACCATGCATCTTTCGATGTGGCGTCGTAAATATTTAAAATCGTCTTATAATTTAATTTGGATATAAATACATACGCAATGTATCTTACCATTTTCAGGCCGAGTTCTTTAGCCAAAGTTTTTCCGGGTCCGGTGAACCCTAGGGCGATGATCACCAGATCTGCTTTGAAAATATGTTCAGAATTTGGTATTTCTGCCATTGCCCAGCGGCCTGAGATGTCCTAAATGGGAAAGTGGTTGTATGTAATTCTAATTTTTGACGATCTGTTAGGAAAATTGATGGATCAATCACTGTTGAAGCTGGAAGGATCGTAGGATCAATTGCAAAGGGTGCGGGGGAGGGCGTGGATTGGAGGTGACCCTTTGGATGGAATTTATGGAGTAAAGGTCTGTTCACACAATCCAATTTTGTTGGATCCAATTCACTTCTGACGTATGAAATATAGTCGGCTATTGATAAAGCTGTACTGCATTGGCTTCAGTGGATTTACTGCTGATATACATTACAAGACAACAGACTATAAAACATCCATCAGAAGTGAATTGGATCCAACAAAATTGGATCGTGTGAACAGACCTTAAAGGGAAGACCCACGGGAGAAGAAAATAATGGGGGAAAGGGGAGGACTCCTTGGTTTGGACGGGGTAAAGGGGGACTGAATGAGGTAGAGGGGACACCTTGAAATCTATTGAGTAAGACCAAGCTGCGAATTCGATCCCTGTTTACCTTGACCCATTCCACTCTCACTGTTCTTATGCCGGTGACGTTTCCTTTCTCGTCACTGATAAATTCCTAAAACGAATAAGTGTTAAATGAAGAAACCGTTTGCAAAAGGCTTTTACCAAATAAACCAATATCATTGTCAAGTGTTTTCAAACGTATGTACATACCTTGCTCAGGGTGTTATAATGCCGAGGATCTTTGCCGTATTTGATTGCAACCTGTGAAAATATTTATTTCTTATTGATCCAGTGTTACTACAGGAGGAAACCTAAACTAAACTAATTTTATTTATACTGGATAGTTCTATCAGTTCTAAACTGTTCTTCCCAGAGGTCCAGTAAGGATCATCTCTTATTGATCCAGTGTTACTACAGGAGGAAACCTAAACTAAACTAACTTTATTTATACTGGATAGTTCTATAAGTTCTAAACTGTTCTTCCTAGAGGTCCAGTAAGGATCATCTCTTATTGATCCAGTGTTACTACAGGAGGAAACCTAAACTAAACTAACTTTATTTATACTGGATAGTTCTATCAGTTCTAAACTGTTCTTCCTAGAGGTCCAGTAAGGATCATCTCTTATTTATCCAGTGTTACTACAGGAGGAAACCTACACTAAACTAACTTTATTTATACTGGATAGTTCTATCAGTTCTAAACTGTTCTTCCTAGAGGTCCAGTAAGGATCATCTCTTATTGATCCAGTGTTATTACAGGAGGAAACCTAAACTAAACTAACTTCATTTATACTGGATAGTTCTACCAGTTCTAAACTGTTCTTCCTAGAGGTCCAGTAAGGATTATCTCTTACTGATCCAGTGTTACTACAGGAGGAAACCTAAACTAAACTAACTTTATTTATACTGGATAGTTCTATCAGTTCTAAACTGTTCTTCCTAGAGGTCCAGTAAGGATTATCTCTTACTGATCCAGTGTTACTAAAGGAGGAAACCTAAACTAAACTAACTTTATTTATACTGGATAGCTCTATCAGTTCTAAACTGTTCTTCCTAGAAGTCCAGTAAGGATCATCTCTTATTGATCCAGTGTCACTACAGGAGGAAACCTAAACTAAACTAACTTTATTTATACTGGATAACTCTATCAGTTCTAAACTGTTCTTCCTAGAGGTCCAGTAAGGATCATCTCTTATTCATCCAGTGTTACTACTGGAGGAAACCTAAACTAAACTAACTTTATTTATATTGGATAGCTCTATCAGTTCTAAACTGTTCTTCCTAGAGGTCCAGTAAGGATCATCTCTTATTGATCCAGTGTTACCACAGGAGGAAACCTAAACTCACCTCTTCGTGTCCATATTCAATTCTGAACACGCGCGGCCATTGAGGCCATGGATTTGCGTCTTTTCTATTCTTAGGTGGTTCGCTCAGCAATTCGAAAGTCGTTATCGTTCTTGCATTCTGAAATGGTATCAAGAAAAGCAATTGGTCAAAATAACAAGACTCCTACATGGCTTAAAAACTCAATGATCTCACATCTTGCTAACAAGACGTGCTCCCAAGAAATGTTATCATTTTATAAAGTTGTTAAAGTTGTTAAGAGGAGATTTTTTATTATGTCGCGTATTTTGGCGGGAAAACGCTGAAAACCTAAATCTTTTCGGCGTACCGCTCAAAATTAATTTATTTTACATTTATTATTTAGATTATGTTGTGAACTAAGTTTCGAACTGTATTTGGTGAATGAAAAACACCAATGAAAGGAGTTATTGCAAAATATAATGCGGCTATTATATAATGTCAACGCAATTATAACTGAACTGAATACAAAAGAAGCTTTGATTCAGGTCATTTTCTTCTCGGCGTATCCCGAGAAATCTTTTCATTTTCACAATATTTTGAGATTATACAGTAAACATACTTTGTGGATGCTTTTCAGGTTTGCAAAACATTTGTAATGCTGAAAATTTTAGTGCTGTTGCATGAAGATATAACTGAGGTTTTGAGCATATATTACGCGACATAGAAAAATATCTCCTCTTAAACAGGTTGGTGAATTGCGGAGGACGGTTGTACGGAACCTGGATAGCGCTATCCAGTTGTTGTATCACAAACCTGTCGGACACAGGTGGCCACACAGTCTACACCTGTGTCGCCTCCACCAATGATGATCACGTTCTTATCACGTGCGTCTGTGACGTCACCACTGTAAGGACCTAAAAGGAAAAATATATTATAGGCTGTGGGATTATTAAAGGAAAATTTTACTTTGCGGAAAAGTTGTGAATGAATTGTTGATCAACTTGATGCAAAGTGATGGTCCGGACAGACTTGTAAAAACAAAAATCTTAATTTAGAGTCGAATCATACACAATTCAATTCAAGCCAGGAACAGTTCATCGCAAAAGCGTAGGTTCGATTCCTGCCGGAGGATCGATAGTTGACTCATTTTTCTCAACTGTTCCTGGCTTGAATTCAGTTGTGTATAACTCCACTCGAAATTGAGACCCTTTAAAAACCTTTAGAATTTACCTACATCGAGTGAAGTGCCACAAAATCGTAATTGATTTACCCTCTTGTAAAAACAAGATGCGATCTTTATGTTAAATTAACATTTGAACTATTGCAGACAGCTCAACTGAACTGCAGTTCGATTAAATGAATTTCGATGAAGCAAATTCAAACATACCAAGCTGTTTCTTTTGATTTTTTTCCAGAAAATCCATAGCGAACTGTATGCCCTTAAGTTCTCGACCTAAATATTGAATATTAGAGGAAAATTTTTCTTTAGATTTAAAACATGCGACAAATTATGCTTTTTACTCTATAGAAAGTTCTATAGAAAGTTCCCAAACTATTCAACTGGACACGCAACTCAGAGAGCTACCGAGTTAAATGTTTTGAAAGCTTTGGTAGGCATTTGCTTATTGATCCAGTGTTACTACAGGAGGAAACCTAAACTAAACTAACTTTATTTATACTGGATAGCTCTATCAGTTCTAAACTGTTCTTCCTAGAGGTCCAGTAAGGATCATATCTTATTGATCCAGTGTTACTACAGGAGGAAACCTAAACTAAACTGACTTTATTTATACTGAATAGCTCTATCAATTCTAAACTGTTTTTCCTATTTTCTAGTATTTAGGTTTGATTATGAAATTGGGTTTGTCTGCCTACCAGGAATCTGGAGGTCACGTGGAACGGTTGAACCAATCGCTAAGAGGATGGCGTCATATGACGCGAGCAGCTGCTGGCCGGAAAGATCGACTCCGATTTCGGTATTTGGGACGAATCCTATCCCTTCTTCAGCCAGAAGATTGATACGTCTTTGAACGACCTAAATAATGAGACGATTTGTTTAACTGACGTAATGGTTTCCAGGGTGGTGTTGTCACCCTCGAAATTGAAAGACTGTAATCTAATAATTTAGGTCAGTGAGTGTGTTGATTCGTATAATTTTTCTCTCTGCTGTTTAGTGGTAAAAAAAACAGATTTGAAAGCGCCGGAAATCAGGGTTTTGAGACAACGAGAAATTTAACTTCGCGCAAAATTCCGCCAAGTGGAAAAAGAGTTTTAATCACAGTTGATTTGAGGCGCCACCACGGCGCTTATATAGTATATTGTATACCTGATAGCCACCAATTATTGTGCGTGTTCATGACACGAAAACAAAAGAACGTTTTAACTCTTTAATTTTCTGTGGCAATGATAATTGATTACGCATGTCAATTATCGACAAAGAGAGAATTTTCACTTTATTTAATTTATTTTACAATATTTAATCTATTTTCAACTTTTTGAAATCGTTATAAGGATTGGAATTTCGAAGTCTTACTGTTTTTTACGAATACTTTTTACATCTTTCACACAACAACAGCCGTGTGGCAGTTTCTTACTTCAGACATTTCTGGAAGTTCTTCCCAAGAATTCCTTTCAAAGTTGAAACATTCAACTGACTTCACTACGTAATATCCCTCGTTATACCCTCCCAGGACTATAATGTTGTTTTCAATAACAACTGCAGTACATCCACCCCTCTTACATCTCATTGATGGCAGCATGTGACTTTGTTCTGTCTTGACATTGTAAATGATAACTGTATTTAATGGCTTGCCATGTTTGTCAACGCCACCAATAACAACAATGTTGTCTCCCCATCTCACAGTTGTCATAGCACTCACTTCATACGGCAGTGGTGACAACTGTTTCAGCTCATTCTTCTTTATATCGTACAGTACGACACTGCTGAGGTTGTATTTGCAATTTTCAGTTGTTCTTCCACCAACTATCAACAAATTATCATCAAATATTTCCATGCTGTGATATTGTCTTGGTTCTGGCATTCTTGATAAGGTCTTCACAGTATAGGGAGGAACAAGCTGGACTGATCTGATCAAGTCAGATGAACCATTTCCATTATCACCTCCAGAGACTATCAACTGATCATCATACAGCACACTGCTGTGATTTTTTAACTTATCAGGTAGTTTAACAGGACAGTCACTCCAGTGTGTTGAGAGATCAGGGTTTGGGTCAATATTCATTCTAATCATATCATCAACAATGCCAGGCCAACCACCATCATCACATTCACCCCCAGCTATATTCATATGATTGTTATAAATAAATGAAGTCGCTGCCCCACGATTCTTTGGCATTAATTGTAATAGCGACCATGTTCTTTGACGCCAGTTAAACATCTCTACAGAGTTAGTTCTGGCACCTCCAGCAACAATTATATTTTCCTTATCACCACTTGGTCTATTTCTTACTTTTCTTGTGTTTTCTTCTTTCTTGCCCTCCATCGTGATAAGAACGTCCTTCATCTCATCAAAAGCTCTGACCAAAGCTGTTTTCAATCCATCGACTTTGTTGTTCATATCTGAGGTATTTCTCTCAAGATTTTTCTCCAAATTTGTGATTTTAGTTTCAATTGTTATATTATTCTTCTCCAAATTCTTCTCCATATTCGCCATTCTTTCCTGCATATCTGCCAAAGTTTTCGTTATTTCTCCGCACGAGTGACACTTCAACTTTTGGAATTCACAGACTTCACTTTCATGGTGAATAAGATCACGCTTGTTGACAATTAAACCACAGCCTTGGTTTGTACAAACGGCTGGTGTATATCCACAAGTATCTTCATGGCGGTCAAGATGCTGTAATTCTACAACTTCTTGACAACCTCTGTCGATGTAAACGCAACGAATTTTCGATTCATTCAAGAAATCTTTTACCATTCTATTTGGTTCGGCCAAAGTCTCTACGGTCAGTTCATCAGCACACGTTGGACATGTTTGAGAATTTTCCAGATGTTTCGTAATACAACAACGGCAAAACGAATGCTGATTTCTCGAACACATAACCGGCTCTTTCAAGACGTTGAAGCAAATCTGACAATGAAAATTTCGATCGATTTGGTTCACAAACCTTTCTTCATCGTAGCCTTGTATATATGAATTATGAAGCCATATTTCACGTCGTTCTTGTGTCGTAATAATAAAGCAAGTTCTGTGTTGTTTGTCGCTCTGTAGTATAAACCTCGCTGTATAGACTCAATATAGATACAGTGTTCGTTCTTGGAGAAGTCTATGTTTGTATTTCCTCGAAATCCTCTCCAAAATGATCAGTTTATGAAGACAAATATATTTAAGGAGTGTTTTGTAGACAGGAATTTGCTTGTGTGAAAATATGATATTATTATCATGTCTCGTGACAAAAGGTCATCGACCTGTTATTAAAATACTCACTTGCAATTGGTTGTGTTTATGTTGATAGGAATTTCTTATTTCATTATATGGAAATGAGTTCGAAGAAAATGATACTTTATACCAAGAAAAATCAATCATAACAATGAAATATTTCGACTAAGTATATTATAATCGATGCGGATAAAGTCTGTATTAGAATTTATTTCGAATCTTTCGACGAATTATATGTTAAAAGAAACAGACAAATAATTTTTGGGTAAAATATATTTCAAACGTCCTTCACACCGGCCGGTATTTGTTTACAAATGATCCCATGGAAAACACGGAATCGTAGGTTTGGGATCTGGAGCCGTGAAACGTGATCTGATGTGAATTATGGAAATAATTCCATGTTTTCTAAATCCTAAATACACGAAATTATCCTTTAAATCAGGCTAGGGTTAGGATTAGGTCTTAATCAGGCTTATGATTGATTAAGGGGAACCCCAATTCTAAATCTAACCCTAATCCCAACTTAATCTCGATTTACTAAACAATGTTCGAAGCAGAATTGGTAAAATGGAGCAAATTATATATTCATTAAACAAACCTCTTTCTCAATTTTCATTGAAGGAATTCCATACATCAATAATCCGCCACATTTTTCGTTCTTTTCGTAAACCGTGACAAGGTGACCAGCCTTTAAGATACAACATTTTAAAACCAAAACATAGAGTCAAATGTCGATATATTTAAAACGAGATTTTTTATGTCGCATATTTTGGCGGGAAAACGCTCAAAACCTAAAATCTTTTCGGCGTACCGCTCAAAATTAATTTATTTTACCTTTATTCTTTAGATTATGTTGTGAACTAAGTTTTGAACTGTATTTGGTGAATGCAAAACACCAAACAAAGGAGTTATTACAAAATATAATGCGGCGGCTATCAACAATGTTATAATGTCAACGCCATTATGACTGAAATGAATACAAAAGAAGCTTCGATTCAAGTGTCATTTTCTTCTCGGCGTATCCCGAGAAATCTTTTCATTTTCACAATATCTCGAGATTATACAGTAAACATACTTTGTGGATGCTTTTCAGGTTTGCAAAACACTTTTAATGCTGAAAATTTTAGTGCTGTTGCATGAAGATATAACTGAGGTTTTGAGCATGTATTACGCGACATAGAAAAATATCTCCTCTTAACAATCTCAGCATGAAATTGAGTCGCATATAAGCGAACGCCGAATGCTATAATTGTTTTATATTATCGCCAAATCTTTATAATAATAATAATCTTATCACAAATTCTCACTACATGAAGGGCTTTGAATACATTTGATGCATAACCAGGGCATATCATATTCCAAAATATAGACGTTATCTAATTGAAATATTTATTATTTGACGAGCTTTTGATTGTCAACTACAGGCAGTCTTCGAAGGGTGAAGAGTGAAGACTATAGACTAAATATTTTAAACAGAGAACGTCTATATTTTTCAATAACACTAGGGGGGGGGGGGCAGTTCACCTCAGCCAGTCACCGTCACAGAACGAAGAGAGATATTAATAAAATAATGTTTATGTAGAAATTACGATGGCATTGAAAGTTTAATTTTGATACCTTGTTGAGTTGAGCGGCAGCTGCTAGCCCGGCAGGACCACTTCCAATGATAGCAACCGTTTTGTTTGTTCTCATTTGAGGCGGCTAAAATAAGTACATTAGAAAACATAAACGAAACGAAACTAACTTTATTTATACTGGATAGCTCTATCAGTTCTAAACTGTTCTTCCTAGAGGTCCAGTAAGGACCATCTCTTATTGATCCAGTGTTACTACAGGAGAGAACCTAAACTAAACTAACTTTATTTATACTGGATAGCTCTATCAGTTCTAAACTGTTCTTCCTAGAGGTCCAGTAAGGATCATCTCTTATTGATCCAGTGTTACTACAGGAGGAAACCCAAACTAAACTAACTTTATTTATACTGGATAACTCTATCAGTTCTAAACTGTTCTTCCTAGAAGTCCAGTAAGGATCATCTCTTATTGATGGGGTGTTTCATGGAGTACAGATGATATTACCTGAGGTTTCATCCATCCTTTTTCAAAAGCAACATCAATGATTTGACATTCGATACTTTTGATCGTAACAGGCTGTGAATTGATACTCAGCACACAGGCACCCTGACAACATAACGAAAAAAAAATAGAAAAGCTTATCCCAGGTTGGTTGAAATCTGAAGATCTCTGGTGAAATATATCATAAAAATCGTGGTCTTTATCAATACAGTCTCAGCTTCAATGTTATGAGATCAGATGTTCTCACCTCGCATGGCGCGGGGCAAACTCTCCCGGTGAATTCTGGGAAGTTATTCGTCTGCAGTAATCTGTCTAAAGCGTCTTGCCATTGACCCTGAGAGTGGAGATTAAATTGCAATATTCATTTACCCAGTTTCAGTTGGTTCAATAGTACAGTGAAAAGAGGATTTTTTGCTCAAAAACTTACGTGAAAAACAAGATCATTCCATTTCGGAATGACATTACCCAAAGGACAGCCAGTTTTTGACTGACAGAAAGGAACACCACAATCCATGCATCTATAATACACAAAACGCGATAATAAGGGGTTATTAAGACTTGCCCTCTAGGAAGAACAGTATAGAACTCATAGAGCTATCCAGTATAAATACTTGAGTTTCCTTCTGTAGTAACACTGGATCAATAAGAGATGTTCCTTACTGGACCTCTACGAAGAACAGTTTAGAACTGATAGAGCTATCCAGACTAAATAAAATTAGTTTAGTTTAGGTTTCCTCCTTTAGTAACACTGGATCAATAAGAGATGATCCTTACTGGACCTCTAGGAAGAACAGTTTAGAACTGATAGAGCTATCCAGAATAAATAAAATTAGTTTAGTTTAGGTTTCCTCCTGTAGTAACACTGGATCAATAAGAGATTATCCTTACTGGACCTCTCGGAAGAACAGTTTAAAACTGATAGAGCTATGCAGCATAAATAAAGTTAGTTTAGTTTAGGTTTCCTCCTGTAGTAATAATACTGGACCGCTAGGCAGTAAACTCTGCTTTCATCACGTAGTAAAATGATAGTTCCATGCAACGCTGACCTTGCAGCTTGCACCTTCAGTTCCTTCTGTTTGGGATGATTATAGATCTCGTTCCAGTCCTTCAATCGTTTCTTAGCTGGTCTGTAAGCATTCGCGCGTCTTTTGTATCGCACAAAACCTCTGAAAGCAATCGTAAAAGATGTTGAATTCAGTCATCAAACAAGCTAGAAGTATTCCACTAGACACCTTGATTCTTTGTGGTTCTAATCTGGACTGATTGGCAAAGATAGCAACTTAAATCAATCTAGTCGAACTCTCAATAAGGGTGGCTGGCCAGGGCCTTTGGCGCAAGGGGAGCAATTTAGACCGGACCCCAAAAAACCTAAAGACACGGAATTGGTGAATCTCGAAAGAGAAATTTTCTAATAGTCTAAATATACTGATATTTTACTAATACCTTTGTTTATCAATGCTCTTCTCATCACTGTCATTCGGAACAGCTTCTTCAATATCAGCAATGTCGTTCACCGAATCCTTTCTTAACGGCACTTCCTCGTAAAAATTACCATCCATCTTTTCATCGCCATTTTGAGACGAAGAGTTTTCGCTCTGAATGATATAAAACATTGCCTTTGATAAACTCTCTTCAATTTACCACATGCAAAATATCACTTCAAGTAATTCATTGAAACAATAGTGTTTATACATCTTGGAATATTCTCTACTAACCAAGATCTCCTCGTTTTCTTGCTGTTTCAATGCTAGTTTATATTCTCGAGGAATAACCTACAAGCGAGAGTTTACATGAGAGTTTCATCAACTATCATTGCTTGATCAAACGTGAACAAGAGTTGCATGAGAGTTGACAAGCGAGAGTTTGTTTACATGAGAGTTTCATCAGCTAACATTGCTTGATCAAACGAGAACAAGAGTTGCATGAGAGTTGACAAGCGAGAGTTTACATGAGAGTTTCATCAACTATCATTGCTTGATCAAACGAGAACAAGAGTTGCATGAGAGTTGACAAGCGAGAGTTTACATGAGAGTTTCATCAGCTAACATTGCTTGATCAAACGAGAACAAAAGTTGCATGAGAGTTGACAAGCGAGAGTTTACATGAGAGTTTCATCAACTATCATTGCTTGATCAAACGAGAACAAGAGTTGCATGAGAGTTGACAAGCGAGAGTTTACATGAGAGTTTCGTCAACTATCATTGCTTGATCAAACGAGAAAAAGAATTGCATGAGAGTTGACAAGCGAGAGTTTACAGGAGAGTTTCATCAACTATCATTGCTTGATCAAACGAGAACAAGAGTTGCATGAGAGTTGACAAGCGAGAGTTTACATAAGAGTTTTATCAACTATCATTTAGTTTATTATCGACAATATGCAAACCTTGATGAAGAGTTTAACAGCCTCACTCCAGTTATCTAACAAGGTCTTCGCCACGGTAGATTGCGTGTAATGAAAGTGATCCTGAATGATGTGTTTTAGTGATGTATAATCTTCATCTTGTAATGGATCAAGATCAACCTTTTGTGTGTTGCAAAGACTCGGGAATTTACCAGACCTATATAAGGAGAACTCGTTCATATCTTGCTATAAGTTTGTCATATTCGAGATCGATAAGCGCCAATATTCGACAATTTTTACCGGTCAAAAATGTAAGCAATCCCTCCCGACATTCCGGCAGCAAAATTTCTTCCAGTCGGTCCCAAAATAACGACCGTTCCCCCCGTCATGTATTCACAACCATGGTCACCACACCCCTGAAATATAATGTATTAGACAAATTCTAATCGTTCAGTTACAACAACATATTTCAACGGCATCTGACTTTGTACAGCGTTTGAAGATCTTTGGACCCACCTCGCATACAGCAATGGCGCCTGAATTTCGAACACAAAAGCGTTCGGCAGTCACTCCACGAAAATATGCCTAAGGAATTAAAGGTGAAGTTAGTTTAGTTTAGGTTTCCTCCTGTAGTAACACTGGATCAATAAGAGATGATCCTTACTGGACCTCTAGGAAGAACAGTTTAGAACTGACAGAGCTATCCAGTATAAATAAAGTTAGTTTAGTTTAGGTTTCCTCCTGTAGTAACACTGGATCAATAAGAGATGATCCTTACTGGACCTCTAGAAAGAACAGTTTAGAACTGATAGACCTATCCAGTATAAATACAGTTAGTTTAGTTTAGGTTTCCTCCTGTAGTAACACTGGTTCAATAAGAGATGATCCTTACTGGACCTCTAGGAAGAACAGTTTAGAACTGATAGAGCTATCCAGTATAAATAAAGTTAGTTTAGTTTAGGTTTCCTCCTGTGTAACACTGGATCAATAAGAGATGATCCTTACTGGACCTCTAGGAAGAACAGTTTAGAACTAATAGAGCTATCCAGTATAAATAAGTTAGTTTAGTTTAGGTTTCCTCCTGTAGTAACACTGGATCATAAGAGATGATCCTTACTGGACCTCTAGGAAGAACAGTTTAGAACTGATAGAGCTATCCAGTATAAATAAAGTTAGTTTAGTTTAGGTTTCCTCCTGTAGTAACACTGGGTCAATAAGAGATGGTCCTTACTGGACCTCTAGGAAGAACAGTTTAGAACTGATAGAGCTATCCAGTATAAATAAAGTTAGTTTAGTTTAGGTTTCCTCCTGTAGTAACACTGGGTCAATAAGAGATGATCCTTACTGGACCTCTAGGAAGAACAGTTTAGAACTGATAGAACTATCCAGTATAAATAAAGTTAGTTTAGTTTAGGTTTCCTCCTGTAGTAACACTGGGTCAATAAGAGATGATCCTTACTGGACCTCTAGGAAGAACAGTTTAGAACTAATGATTACAAACCTTCCCAGACGTGGCGCCATAGAGACAGACATTCCCAGCAATGATATTGTCTTCAGCTTTGAAACTCTGGGGCAAATTCTTACTGGGGTATAATATTATCTTCCCGCCAGAAAGACCCTGCAAAACAAGAAGTAACATTGCCTTAACGTCAAGAAACTTTGAAAGAAAGACCTTTTCATTGAAACCTTGGAATTTAGCAAGAATTTAGGTGTATCCAAATGGTACTTCCTAGATTAAAGATTTGAGTTTAGGAAATTCCATCCAGGGGCCGGTTGTATCAAGCCCGTTTGGCTTAAACGGTGGATAAGTCAAAATTAAATAACACTCTTACAACTCTCTTGAATGAGTCAACTTGAATATTATGCACTGAATATGTAGTTGTAAACAGTATCTTTGTATTAAGGTTAAAAACATTTAGTTCGCTTGTTGAATAAAACGATAGACTTGCTTTCTATTTTGAACTTATCCACCGTTTAAGCTAAATGGGCTTGATACAACCGGTCCCAGGGCAAATGAATAGATTTACCTTTCCGACATAATCATTGGCATCACCTTCCAATTCTAAAGTGATACCACGACAAACGAACGCCCCGAAACTTTGACCTTGAAAATATCAAAAAGGAAATTTTCAACATATATTGAGTGCGTTTTATGAGGTTACAACAAATAGATTACGTTTTCTTGGTAATATTGCTCAAATGAAATAGAGTAAAATTAACAAACCTGCAGACCCTTTAAGTTTCACGAAAACCGTGTCTTCAGGTAGGCCTTTGTCCAGAAGTTTTCTAGGAAAATAATCAGATAAAATAAATCTTTTTAGTATAAATCTTGTAGCATTTTGCAACCGCAACAAAACAGACTTTTCTGATGCTATTTTGGTTCAAACTTAGGCCTTTTCAGACGTCGAACTTTTCATGTGCATAATCAAATGCAAATGAACTTAAAATAAAGACTTTAGTTCGTTAGCATTAAGTTCGGCAGATGAAAAGCTCGTCGTCTGAAAGAGACCTGAACGTTTCAATTGGCCTCATTTTTTCAAAGTAAGATCAACATGGGTATATTTTTCGGTATTTTCCCAATGGTGAATGTTTTTTTCATGTTGTGGGGTTAAATCTGGGTTGTTACCTGGATATGTGATAGCTTGTTGTTGTCCCAAAACTTCGGTCTTGATTTCCGATATTGAATTCAATGAGAACGTTTTTTCGCTTCCCTTCAAGAACATCGTGAACGGCTGCGATAAGTTCATCCTCCTGAAGAAACAAGGAAACAGTCAGGTGTAGTTTGGTTTAAGTTTTGGTAGGTTATGGTACATTATGGCCAGGTATAGGTATAGTACTGCATGTCATGGTAAATGGTTTATACAAAAGATTGGTAAGTAGTGACTAGTACCTTGTGGTGTGGTGTGGTGTGGTGAGGTGTGATGTGATGTGATGTGATGTGATGTGGTGTGGTGTGGTGAGGTGTGGTGTGGTGTGGTGTGGTGTGGTGTGGTGTGGTGTGGTGTGGTGTGGTTTGGTGTGGTGTGGTGTGGTGTGGTGTGGTGTGGTGTGGTGTGGTGTGGTGTGGTGTGGTGTGGTGTGGTGTGGTGTGGTGTGGTGTGGTGTGGTGTGGTGTGTGTGTGTGGTGTGTGTGGTGTGGTGTGGTGTGGTGTGGTGTGGGGGGTGGTGTGGTGTGGTGTGGTGTGGTGTGGTGTGGTGTGGTGTGGTGTGGTGTGGTGTGGGGTGGTGTGGTGTGGTGTGTGTGGTGTGGTGTGGGGGTTGGTGTGGTGTGGTGTGGTGTGGTGTGGTGTGGTGTGGTGTGGTGTGGTGTGGTGTGGTGTGGTGTGGTGTGGTGTGGTGTGGTGTGGTATGGTATGGTATGGTATGGTATGGTATGGTATGGTATGGTATGGTATGGTATGGTATGGTATGGTATGGTATGGTATGGTATGGTATGGTATGGTATGGTATGGTATGTATGGTATGGTATGGTATGGTATGGTATGGTATGGTATGGTATGGTATGGTATGGTATGGTATGGTATGGTATGGTATGGTATGGTATGGTATGGTATGGTATGGTATGGTATGGTATGGTACATCAGTAAATCTCACCATTCTATCTTCCAATCCAAACTCTTGTCCCTCAGTTCCACCAAAATGTTCACCTTCGCTCAAAGAATGAGCTGGGAGCAGAATCTTTCCGAAGTCAAGAAGCTACAAAAAATATAATAAACTTCGCTTTGATCTTCTGAACTTTCAAATATAAGGTAAAATATCAAATGTCGATACAATTCGTGAAAATTCTACTTCTAATACCAGCACTCTGTACATTCAGATGACGAAAGATAGTCGAGCAGGTTGCATGAATTGCAATTTCACAATTTCATCCAATATTTAATTTCGCCAACCTTAGTTTTTTCGTTTAAAGGATCTTCAGAATTCTTGATGCATTGTGTCTGTCCGATCATTTCCTTCATTGTTTTAAAACCCAGCTTAGCCATGTATTCGCGTACCTAGATGAACATAGATATCCTTTCAGAGCCTGGCCATTTGAGGTGAAGAAAGAGAGCGACTTTCCATCATTGTTACTTCTGGAAATTACCTCAGAAGATTGCCTTAGGATTAGGGATTTGGAATAGTGTTTGGATTTGAGTTTGGAATATGGCTAGGACTAGGATTAGGGTCAGGATTGAGGGTTAGGATTAAGGATTTGGAATAGTGCTAAGATCACAGAATTTGGAATATGGTTAAGACTAGGGTTATGATTGCGGTTAGGATTAGGATTAAGGGTTAGGATTAAGTTTAGGATTTAGGTTAGGATTAGGGTTAGGATTAAGGGTTATAATCAAGTGAAACATCTACTGTACGTCACTAACCTCTTCAGCGATCATGAAGAAATAGTTGATGACGTATTCTGGTTTTCCATCAAATTTCTTTCGCAAAATAGGATCCTGTGTTGCTATGCCAACGGGGCACGTATTGAGATGACATTTTCTCATCATGGTACAGCCAAGGCTGATCAATGGGGCGGTGGAAAAGCCAAACTCGTCCGCCCCAAGCAAGGCAGCAATGATCACATCACGACCTGAAATCAGGTAAAGATATAGTTAGCTTCTTTGAGAAATGGATATTGCTAATGTTGGTTAGTAAATATAATTATATATGAGCTATAAACTTGAATAAATTTTGATATAGGCAAGAAAATTCAAATTCAAAACAGAACATCTTTGGTCAAAACTTGATTGAAAAATATTGTAAAATATACATGAGAAATATACCTTTATGAATATGGTGAATTTGTATACTTGGATTACATATGCAGAAAAACTATTTTTGAGCGAAAAGTGGTTTTATTCTGAGCGAGATACAAGAAGATAAGGGTTTGTGTACTTCACAGAGCTATACTACCCATGTATTTTGCCAAATTCCCGGCCAAACTTTACCATTTTACTCACTTTAAGACACTCTACCTGTGGTGTGGGATTTAGAATTTTCGGCATTGATCAAAGTGTATTCTATAGCTAGAGACCTACTATTTGTCCACAATTACCTGTTCTCAATTGTCCGTCTGTTTGCAAGACAACTCTTCGCCGCAAATTATTCAAAACCAAAGTCTGATGTGTTTCACTCAGACCCAGTTCCCACGGCAGTCCGGCGTGTTTGATGCCGGTCCACGAACTAGCACCAGTCCCCCCGTCGTGGCCGGAAATGACGATGTGCTCGGCGTGACCCTGGGGAAAGAGGAGATATGTCCTGATTCATGTGTAAGAATGATGTGAAATATTTGTGAAATGTGAAATGACCAATCAGCAAACTTGTTTACATTTTCAGTAAGCCAATCAGAATGCACAAATCTTGACTACTTCCGGTAAAAAAAGACATCATTCGCCATTTTACATGAAGTATTCAGATTTAGGCATTCTGATTCGCTCTGCTTGAAAAATGTAAACAAATATGCTGATTAGTTCAAAACGAAATTCCTTCTTGTTACCATAGATAAAAAACACAAAAACATGTTACCTTAGCCACACCAGCGGCAATTACACCAACACCGACCTCTGACACCAGCTTAACGCTAATTCTTGACTTGGGATTGGAGCATTTCAGATTGAAAATCAACTAAAAAAACAGCGAATATATTTCTTCATCATTCATCACAAGAATTGACATAACCTCTAGAACATTCTAGACGTTCAAAGGGTCTTAAAATCGAGTGGAATTATACACACTTCAAATTCAAGCCAGGAACAGTTGATGGAAAAATGAGTCAACTATCGGTCCTCCGGCAGGAATCGAACCTACGCTTTTGCGATGCCGATGCAATGCTCTTGCTCTTGTCTTTTAAGACCCTTTGAACCTCTAGAATTTACCAGCATCGAGTGAAGTGCCAAAAATCATAATTGATTTAAGCTCTAGAAAGTTGTTACATTATTGGGTAGACTTGGGAAAACTAGGATGGGCGACATGAGGGTCAATCATGGAGATCTCACAGAACTTTGCCCCCTGCCTGAATTTACTAATCCTCAAGGAAGTCTGTTCCTCGTGAAAAAGTAGGTTAATAGAACGTTTAGTCCTCACAAAAAAACCATTCCCCTCTCTGTCTGAAGTTTGATGAATGTTTAAATTTGTTTCCACTCCCAAGGGCTGGTTTTATAAAACACTTTAACAACATTTTGCATAGTTAAATTCCAGTTAACTCTAAAATACACGACTTTGAGTGGTCAATTCTGTCCTTAACTGCAGTTAAAAGTTAACTAGTCTTTTATACAACTGGCTCCAGGATGATAAAAAAGTTGTCAAAACAACTCGGTTATATATTAGTCTTTTCCACTAGACATGACTATCCCAAACTATACTGACCTCAGCAAGATCTTCAATGGAGTAAATATCATGATGTGGTGGAGGACTGATCAATGCCACGCCCAAGGTTGATAGTCGCGTTTTTGCAATCTCTGGTGTGACCTTGTGACCCGGAAGTTCGCCACCTTCACCGGGCTTTGCTCCCTAAAGATATTTTTAAATAGATTTGCTCTCAAGACCCGATTATACGATCTGACTTTGTCCGATCAAATTCACTTCTGACGTATGGAATGTAGTTTGTTATTGATAAAGCAGTGCTGCATTCGTTTTAGTTGATTTGCTGCTCATATACTTTGCAAGTTAACAGACTATAAAACATCCCTCAGAAGTGAACTGATCTTTAAAGAGCTGGGGCCGGTTATTCGAAAGGCGTTTAGCTTAAACGGTGGATAAGCCAAAGTTTAAAAATACTCACATAGATCTTGTAAATTATTGAACTTGCATCTTATGCATTTAATAGGTACTTTCATTCACAATTAAACTATTTACATCGAAATATTTCAGCTCAGTTGTTCAATAAATAGATAATTTTGTTTCCATTTTGAACTTATCCACCGTTTAAGCTAAACGGCTTTCGAACAACCGGCCCGAGGAGCCAAACACAAGAGTGATTGGCTTTGTTTTGAACCAGAATAGTTACAGGGTTCATTCAAAAGTCTACCTGCGCCATTTTTATCTGAAGATCGTCTGCATGGGCCAGATAAGCGCTGTTCACTCCGAATCTACCAGATGCAATCTGTTTGATCGCAGATCTTGTGTTGTTTTGTTCATCAGTAATCATCAAGCGCGTCGGCTTTTCTCCACCTTCACCAGTATTGCTCTTACCTCCCATCCTGAAAGACAGCCATAGTTTGAATATTAAACGGATATATTAAGGATAAGTAGACGTTTTATTCGCTGTAATGGACGAGCGACGAGCATTATTGTGAAAGGATAATATTTAAGAACTTTTACTAAAGTTTAAATGACGTTACCTGTTCATTGCGATAGCCAGTGTTTCGTGTGTCTCAATTGAGATCGATCCAAAACTCATAGCACCTTTAGGATAAATTAAACGAGATGGGTTGATTTATTGTCTCGAAGGATACACAATATGATTTAGGGTTGATAGAGCTATCAAGTGTGAATAAAGTTAGTTTAGTTTAGGTTTCCTCCTGTAGTAACACTGGTTCAATAAGAGATGATCCTTACTGGAAAAACATTTTAGAACTGATAGAGTTATCGAGTATAAATAAAGTTAGTTTAGTTTAGGTTTCCTTCTGTAGTAACACTGGATCAATAAGAGATGATCCTTACTGGACCTCTAGAAAGAACAGTTTAGAACTGATAGAGCTATCAAGTATAAATAAAGTTAGTTTAGTTTAGGTTTCCTCCTGTAGTAACACTGCATCAATAAGAGATGATCCTTACTGGACCTCTAGGAAGAACAGTTTAGAACTGATAGAGCTATCCAGTATAAATAAAGTTAGTTTAGTTTAGGTTTCCCCGTTTAGTAACACTGGATCAATAAGAAATTATCCTTACTGGACCTCTAGGAAGAACAGTTTAGAACTGATAGAGCTATCCAGTATAAATAAAGTTAGTTTAGTTTAGGTTTCCTCCTGTAGTAACACTAGATCAATAAGAGATGATCCTTACTGGACCTCTAGGAAGAACAGTTTAGAACTGATAGAGCTATCCAGTATAAATAAAGTTGGCTTAGTTTAGGTTTCCTCCTGTAGTAACACTGGATCAATAAGAGATGATCCTTACTGGACCTCTAGGAAGAACAGTCTAGAACTGATAGAACTATCTAGTATAAATAAAGTTAGTTTAGGTTTTCCTTCTGTAGTAACACTGGATCAATAAGATATGATCCTTACTGGACCTCTAGGAAGAACAGTTTAGAACTGATAGAGCTATCCAGTATAAATAAAGTTAGTTTAGTTTAGGTTTCCTCCTGTAGTAACACTGGATCAATAAGAGATGATCCTTACTGGACCTCTAGGAAGAACAGTTTAGAACTGATAGAGTTATCCAGTATAAATAAAGTTAGTTTAGTTTAGGTTTCCCCCTGTAGTAACACTGGATCAATAAGAAATGATCCTTACTGGAACTCTATAGGAAGAACGGTTTAAACTGATAGAGCTATACAGCACGATAAAATTAAAAGTTACCTGTACAAAATCTCTTCACAATAGACGAGGCTGATTCAACTTCAGCTAAATCCAGTGGTTTATCCGCAAACGTGAACTCCATTTGACCTCTCAAAGTGCAAGCTTTCACCTAAGTTTAGGAAGAGAATGATTGCTAATTATACAAATGTCTGATGTTTTTGTAGACCTCGGAGGACATCCCCAAGTTCCTTTGTGTTCAATTCAAGCATTCCGTCTTTAAACGCTTTCTATTCATAGTGGCTAAAAACTATACGAGTGTTGCTCTAAAAAAGATCGTATATTCAGATAAGGCTACTTACCATTCGCCATGTTGATTCAACAAACTTTTTGAATGTTTTCGTATTGTTTCCTCTGGATGCCTCCTGAAAGAATGCAAACGAATTAACTCGAGTCTACCGTTTTCCGGCGTATTCGAACATGGTCGAGTTATTGAAATTTGTTAATGAAGGCAAGAGATTTGGAATCTTGTAGATATAAATCGACGATACGAACTGCCTCTGTGAACTAAATGTTTTTAACTCTTTCTGAATGAATCAAAAATCGGAATAAAACTACAAAATCTCTGTCAGTCAATGCAAAATCTTCACCTGAAGTAATCCAATGCTTCGGGGGTCGTTGATGTGTTTCTCCCCCCCATCTCTCCAGTGATATTCACCCTAAGAAAATGAATTGAATTGTTTATAAATCAATTATCCTATCCTTAGGAATGAAGTACAATTAATTTTACAATCATGTATATTTAAAAATTGAAAACATGTAAAAATAATCACTGTACTTACAGCAATGTTTAATAAAGTTCTAAAATGTTTAATAACCCCAATAAAAACTTCAGGGGCTGGTTGTTCGAAAGGCGTTTAGCTTTAACGGTGGATAAGCCAAAGTTTAAAAATACTCTCATAGATCTTGTGAATGACTGAACTTGCATCTTATGCATTTAATTTGTACTTTCATTGAAAATTAAACTATTTACATCGAAATACTTGAGCTCAGTTGTTAAATAAATAGATAATTTGGTTTGCCTTTCGAACAACCGGCCCCTATCTAGATATTATTTAAGTAATTTAGCTAGTAGGTACACCATCTAAGTATTTAAGTAAGTATTTACTACTGCAAAGCTCTCCATCCGAAAGGCGTTTAGCTTAAACGGTGGATAAGTTCAAAATAGAAAACAAAATTATCGATTTAATGAACCATGAACTGAGCTGAAATATTTCGATGTAAATAAAATTAAACGCATAAGATGCAGGTTCAGTCATTCACAAGATGTATGAGAGTATTTTAAACTTTGGCTTATCCACCGTTTAAGCTAAACGTCTTTCGAACAACCGGACCCAGCTTTTGAAAGCTTTGCAGTATTAAATACTTACGTGGTGTACCTACAAGCTAAATTACTTATTGATTGTCACCATGTAAAAATACAAGAATATTATACATATTATATCTATTTAAAAGTAAACTTGTTTGGCGTAGTTTACAATGAAATGACACATCAAAATCTTTTTTGAGTAGAAATTTAGAAACAAAACAAAACAAAAAGAAACCTTACTCCGAAGGCTAAATATCGTGAACTAAAGATATATTTCAAAGTCTCAAGAAGATATTTCGACTAACCTATACAAAACAATCGCAAAAAACTTCTTTGAAATACTTCAGATGGTTCAAGACGGATTGAATGGTTATGGACAAGTTAAAAAATCACTTTACCCAATTGTTAACCAGCACATTATCTCCATCGCGATCGGAAAACGCGATTCTGTGACGATTCAGGGCCTTAAATATAAACAATAAATAAATGTTGTATATAATGTTAAGATACTGCATTTGAAAAAAGTAATTTTTTGCTGCTATTTTCTTCTTTTGATAGATGTGAACGAGTGAATTAGTTACGAATACTTTGATGTATGAGAACTCTTATTTGTACATCAGTAACTTATTCACTCGTTCACATCTCTCAAAAGAAGAAAATCGCACATAAAGTGTAAACAGGTCTTTAGGAATCCAAAATATTTACCTCTTGTGCTAAAACTTTGAACGTTACACCAGAAATTCTCGACGCTGTCCCAGTGAAGCATTTCTCGATGACCTAGTTTTCGAAGACAAGCTAATATGAACTACAAGCGTTTTGAATAGAAAAGTTACCAGTTCACGAAATCTTCATTTACTAGGGCTGGTTGTATCAAACCCGTTTAGCTTAAACGGTGGATAAGTCAAAATTAAATAACACTCTTACATCTCTCTTGAATGAGTCAACTTGAATATTATGCACTGAATATGTAGTTGTAAACAGTATCTTTGTATTAAGGTTGAAAACATTTAGTTTGCTTGTTAAATAAAACGATAAACTTGCTTTCTATTTTGAACTTATCAACCGTTTAAGCTAAACGGGCTTGATACAACCGACCCCAGCATATAGGCTAAATCTGTCAGTCAAGTAATTCAAACATTCTGCATATGATGGTACTATTTTGAGTGCAACTGGGTAAGCAAAAAAACAGCATGACCAGGGTGGGATCAGTTCTAAACTGTTCTTCCTAGAGGTCCAGTAAGGATCATCTCTTATTGATCCAGTGTTACTACAGGAGGAAACCTAAACTAAACTAACTTTATGTATACTGGATAGCTCTATCAGCTCTATGACCGTCAGACATGGTTAAAAAAATAGTGATACGAAATTGTGCCACAGATCTGACAATACACTGGATGACTGCATTAATACTGGATTAGTAGGACTGATGATATGGGTCGAGAGATTCTTTACCTTCTCGTGAAGGCCAACTGCTTCAAATATTTGAGCAGCCTAAATAGGGAAAAATACGTGAATTTTTGAAGATACGAGGCAAGCTACAAGGATAGCTTACAAAGTGGAAAGCTAGAAAATTTATGATGTTATATTGACTTTATCTCAACGTAGTCACCTTGTAACTTTGCAAAGTGGAAATTCCCATTTTCGCCATGACTTTCGAAATTCCTATGAATGATGCTGCTTGAAGATTTTTGTACACTTCCTGGTCGGTCAATGGCGGATCCAGCAAACCTGGAATTGGGATCACAATTTCCTAATTCCGGCGATGCAGATGAAAAGTTTGCTTTTTTACACGATTCGGTTCCAGCAAAGATCAAAGATTTTGATCAATTAAAATACAAATAGACCTTTTCAATATACCTTGTATGCAAATGGTCTGAAATGGTTAAGTTTTATTGGCCATTCACATGGTCTGAAATAGTTACGTTTTATTGGCTATTCACATGGTCAGAAATGGTTAAGTTTTATTGGCTATTCACATGGTCAGAAATGGTTAAGTTTTATTGGCTATTCACATGGTCAGAAATGGTTAAGTTTTATTGGCTATTCACATGGTCAGAAATGGTTAAGTTTTATTGGCTATTCACATGGTCTGAAATGGTAAAGTTTTATTGGCTATTCACATGGTCAGAAATGGTTAAGTTTTATTGGCTATTCACATGGTCAGAAATGGTTAAGTTTTATTGGCTATTCACGTGGTCTGAAATGGTTAAGTTTTATTGGCTATTCACAAGGTCAGAAATGGTTAAGTTTTATTGGCTATTCACATGGTCAGAAATGGTTAAGTTTTATTGGCTATTCACATGGTCTGAAATGGTTAAGTTTTATTGGCTATTCCATGGTCTGAAATGGTTAAGTTTTATTGGCTATTCCATGGTCTGAAATGGTTAAGTTTTATTGGCTATTCCATGGTCACAACATCTGAAATGGGTTCATTTGCATGCAAGCTGAAAAGGTCTATTGTTGTGAGAAAAGTGTCGTTATCATGAAACTTGAAGATGGTGCAAAAATTCTTGAAAAAAATCGATAAACAGTTTTACCCTCTTGTCTTAGGATCTGTACAACTTCAAATACAAGATATGGACAGATGGCGTCAGCACCGTAACCAAGCAACAGACAGAAATGATGAATCTGCCTGAAGTGAGAAACGGAGGATTGCGACAAAAGCTGAGGCGAATGTGGAGATGAAAATGGCGAAAAGCGAGAAGAATATATAGACGATTTTATAATAAAAATATATTATTCTTGTACGTGTGCGTGCTGAAATAAGTAAGTAAATTAGCTTGTAGGTATATAATACTGCCGTATTAAATACCTACGTGGTGTACCTACAAGCTAATGTACTTAAAAATATATTAAAAGTAGTATTGAAATATGCGTCACATCGTAGAGATATTGCATGCATTGAATGTACAGCGAATATGGAACAGAATACAGATAGTATGGGGAAGAATACAGAGAGTTTTGAGAAGAATTTGCTAGCCATTCAGGCCAGGTTTTTTACACTGCGAAGTCTGAAATCTTCTGTAAACACAGTTGGGATTTTCAAAAAGCAAATCCAAAGGTTTTAAAGGATTTGCTTAAAAATACTGGAGAGAACTGTACCACTAACAAACACTAAGTCATTTTATCCCAATATTCAGACTACGATTTGTTTAAAACTTAGGATTTAACAATGCAAACTTTCAACTGTGATCACAGAAACTTTGAGAGTGTGAACCTGATCTGATATTGTAAATTGAGAGCTGTAGTATGGTAATATGGATTTATATAAATGGATGAATAGGTATATAGTAAGTTGGCTGGTTTTTTGAATGGAGTAACAATGGGTGTTTTGAACCAACCTTGCTTCGGCTGTTTCAACAATGATGCTGATTCTTGGCCGTTGTTTGGTCTTAAGAAGATGATGATGAACAGCACCAAGAGCAAGGAGTGAACTAAATCATTTGAAATGAGATCAACACTATCAAATCCACCATTCAATTTTCTTCTTTCGTGTATATTGATCAGCGTGCCTCATGATGAAGTTAGTCAGGACATAACAAAGTGTTCTCACCTGACAGGTACATAATCTTTGCTTGCAAGACGATCAGACAGAATGACAAACGCGCAGTTGTTCTGAATTGCTTGAGTTGCCTGGATAACATGACAGAAAAACAAGCTTGAATATGCTGCATTTGTTCACAGTTATTATAGAATATACATGGTTTGGAGACTAGATGGAAATACAATACAACTCATTATCTATGTTATTGTCCAGGTTTATGCAAAAAATGGTTCCTTATCCGTCACATGTCTATTGTATTTTTGCCCAACTAACCAATAGCAATGGCTTGGCTTAGCTCCTCAACCGTGACTTGAACAACATGTTAATTCAGACCTTACTATTGGTTTATTTGTTCAAAATACAATAGACACGTGACGAATAAGGAACAATTTTTTGCATAAGTGTTCCCCGACATAGTTAATGAGTTCTATTGTATGTCTTCAAACCATGTATATTCTATTAACTATGATTTGTTCAAATAGATGCCTTTGATACTAATATTATAATTCTTGCAGTCTCAACGACACTGGTTATGATTAAAATAAATGATCCAACAACTTAGCATCAAATGTGGTATAACAACTGCCTAAAATAGACAAAACACTTCTCGACGTTTCGACCTGAGGGCCTTCGTCAAGAGAAGGTTAGTATGGCTCATACTAACTCTCCTGACTATTTAGGCAGTTGTTATACCGCATTTGATGCTAAGTTGTTTGAAGATGCTGCCACGCTGCTCCCTGGTTATATTGCGACGCCGGTGCAATGCTCTTGCCACTGAGCTACAGAGGTAGCTGACAAGAGCAAGCGTGGTTAATGTGCATACAGGGCCGTAACTAGAAGGATAATTGGGGGGGTGTTTATTCATATATTCAGTTCTGCCCGACGGATTTCCATTGTGAGCTATTGCACTTACAAAAGAAATCCGTCGGGCAGAACTGAATATATGAATAAACACCCCCCCCCCCCAATAATCGTTCTAGTTACTGTTAGTGTATAGGATGGTAATGCTGGAAATAGGTGAGGTAAATCAATTATGATCTTTGGTACATTACTCGATGCAGGTAAATTCTAGAGGTATATATTTTTATATTCATATTATAGTTCCTATTATAAATCGTCCCGACAATATGTTATGTCTCAAATGAATGATTCAAGTCCAGGGCTTCAACAATTGAAGAAAATTTCCTTCCAAATGACAACCACAAGAAATTTTATGCATTCTTTTCAAAAGTTTTTTGTTTCTCTCTTTTGTCATTGCCATCCCCTTATGAGGACAATCATATGCAAATAAGTTGTGGAAGCCCTGGATTAAACATTTGAATGTTTTGATATTCATATTTGGCGATCCAATACCTGTTCACAAAAATTGTCCAAAGCTGGAACGAGGCCATTTTCTCCTTGTCTGACATCATAGACTGTCTCAATGACGTGAACCTGTAGAAAATTAGGTCACAAAATAAAGCAACTTAAACATGAGTAAGAATTCTTTAGAGAATGCATGGGTAACCGTATTGTGGCTTTTCGCGTGAAAACAGACAAATTTGTAAGAATGTACAAAAAAGTTGCTACAATACAGCGAATATGGAGAAGAATATAGAGAATATCAAGAATTTGATAACGATTAACACGATTTTATTAACCCACTTGACTTGGGTCATTTTTTTACATTTTATCACGTAATAGGACTTTGGAAAATGGCTGATTACGAAAAACCAGAAATTATTGAGACACATTCGGACAATAAGACGTTAAAAAAAGATTTATTGACAAAACAAACGATTTGTATACAAATTAGGTTTAACATATGAGTTACGTCTGTGTTTACAGGGTTTTATTTTTTACAGCACACGGTGGATGAGTAAAATTGCACGTATTAATCAATTTTGAAATAATTTTAATAGTTTTTTACAATTCAATGTGGATCGCAACGGGAAAGTTTCCTCGTTCTTAAATTATTCACACAACAACAGCAGTGTGCAAGTATCTTTCAAGAGGCATTTCTGGAAGTTCTTCCCAAGAATACCTTTCAAAGTTGAAACCTTCAACTGACTTCAGCTCTCCTTGCTCACCAGATCCTCCAAAGACTACAATGTTGTTTTCAATAACAACTGCAGTACATCCCTCCCTCTTACATCTCATTGATGGCAGCATGTGACTTTGTCCTGTCTTGACATTGTAAATGATAACTGTATCTAATGTCTTGACATGTTTGTCAGCGCCACCAATAACAACAATGTTGTCTCCCCATCTCACAGTTGCCATGTGACTCACTTCATACGGCAGTGGTGACAACTGTTTCAGCTCATTCTTCTTTATATCGTACAGTACGACACTGCTGAGGATGTCTTGGTATTGGCGATTTGAAATTCCACCAACTATCACCAAATTATCATCAAATATTTCCATGCTGTGATGTTGTCTTGGTTCTGGCATTCTTGATAAGGTCTTCACAGTATACGGAGGAACAAGCTGGACTGATCTGATCAAGCCAGATGAACCATATTCATTAACACCTCCAGAGACTATCAACTGATCATTATACAGCACACTGCTGTGGCATCTCAACTTATCAGGTAGTTTAACAAGACAGTCACTCCAGTGTGCTGAGAGATCAGGGTTTGGGTCAATATTCATTCTAATCATATCAACAACGCCAGACCCATCACAGCTTCCCCCAGCTATAGTCATATGATTGTTATAATTAAATGAAGTCGCTCCCCAACGATCCTCTGGCATTGATTGTAATGGCGACCATGTTCTTTGACGCCAGTTAAACATCTCTACAGAGTTAGTTCCTGTACCTCCAGCAACAATTATATTTTCCTTATCACCACTTGGTCTATTTCTTACTTTTCTTGTGTTTTCTACTTTCTTGCCCTCCATCGTGATAAGAACGTCCTTCATTTCATCAAAAGCTCTGACCAAAGCTGTTTTCAATCCTTTGACTTCGTTGTTAACCGCTTCGAGTTTTCCCTCCATATTTGCGGTATTTTTGTCTATTTTTCCGTCTAAATTTGTTATTTTAGTTTCAATTGTTAGATTATTCTTCGCCATTCTTTCCTCGATATCTGCCAAAGTTTTCGTCATTTCTCCGCACGAGTGACACTTCAACTTTCGGAATTCACAGACTTCACTTTCATGGCGAATAAGATCACGCTTGTTGACAATTAAACCACAGCCTTGGTTTGTACAAACGGCTGGTGTATATCCACATGTATCTTCATGGCGGTCAAGATGCTGTAATTCTACAACTTCTTGACAACCTCTGTCGATGTAAACGCAACGAATTTTTGATTCATTCAAGATATCCTTTATCATTCTTTGTGGTTCGGCCAAAGTCTCTACGGTCAGTTGATCAGCACACGTTGGACATGTTTGGTAATTTTCCAGATGTTTCGTAATACAACAACGGCAAAAAGAATGCTGGTTTCTCGAACACATAACCGGCTCTTTCAACACGTTGAAGCAAATCTGACAGAGGAAATTTTGATTGATTTTGTCCACAAACCTTTCTTCATCGTAGCCTTGCATATATGAAGCCATATTTCGTTAATTCTTGTGTCGTAATAATAAAACAAGTTCTGTGTTGTTTGTCGCTCTGTAGTATAAACCTCGCTGTATAGACTGAATATAGATACAATGTTCGTTCTTGGACAAGTCCGTGTTTGTATTTTCTCAAATCGCTACGGCAAAATTATCTGTTTAGAAGCGCAGAGAAATATCTCTTCCGTAAGTGTTGAAAGAGTGTTTTGTTGACAGGAATTTGTGGTATGAAAAAATTATATTATTATTATTGTCTCGTGACAAAAGCTCAGCATCTCCTATTCAAATACTGACTTGCAATTGGTTGTGTTTATGTTGGTAGGAATTTCTTATTTCATTATATGGAAATGAGTTCGAAGAAAATGATACTTTATACCAAGAAAAATCAATCATAACAAATAGTTTATAGACATAGCATATGGCTAGACGGTGTGGATATCAAGGTTCAGTTGGGATAACGTGGGATAGTTTCCACGCAGGCAAATGGTTATCCCCAGAGAATTTACAAATAATTGGTTGAAATGCAATGAAATAATTGTTTGGAATAAACGAAAACCGCAAATGAATATTTCAAATTGATTGTGATCTGATAAGGCAGAGTTTCACAATAGCTGCGGGCTTGCGGGTACTGACTGCAGGAAATTTCCCAAAATTCAAGGAAGCTTTCAATGGAAATGTGGAAGACCCACTGATCTGTATATATCTATCTTAGTATATCAGTTCATTATTAATACACAGGTAAACTTATATTTACAGGGGCCGGTTGTATTTGCATCAAGCCCGTTTAGCTTAAACGGTGGTTAAGTTCAAAATAGAAAGCGAATGTATCACGTTTAGAACAAACAAGTGGGCCTTTGTGCTTTATTTTCCTTTAATTTTTTGGCAGGAGATATAGAATTTAATGCTTAGATTTTTTTAGTTTTGCAAGAATGAATATTGCACTTGCATTACTGAGATCGAATTTATTAACGTTCTCAAATAAAACCCAACGCATTATGGGATGGTTTTGAGCAACGTATATTGATAATTATTATATACAAAGCGCCAGATATGAGGTATGCTGCAATTTCATTGGTTGGCTACTAGACAGATATTAGCTCATATCTGTCTGGTAGAGAAAGAAAACAAAATGGCTGAAAGATTTGGGAAGTTGAGTGAAATAGAAATCCAAGCTTTAGTTGATAATAGCACACCAAAATGCACCGAAAGGGCGACAAAGTTTGTGTATATAACTCGAGTTCGCAGAATAACTGTTAAATATGATGCAAGAGTCGATTACATGAAAAATTAGAAGCCTTAAGTTAATTAATATAGATACAGTCTTCGTTCTTGGAGAATTTTTAACAAAATTCGCTGTTTAAAACAACAGACGAATATCGCTTCTGCAAAAAATGTTCAGACAGGAATTTGCTTGTGTAAATATAATACTACTTAGACCCGTCTGAAAGAACTTGCGACGAAGGTCATGCGCAATCCAGTAGTTTTGAGATCAGTGCGCGGTCCATTTCCGTTCGTTTCGGTTTCGCTTTTCGCGCCCTGCGATTGGCTTATTACTTCATGTAAGCTTATTATATTGTGTCAGATTTTTATACAGCAGAGGAGCGCCTGGTACGAAGTAATTTGTGGACATTTCTGGAAGTTCTTCCCAGGAATACCTTTCAAAGTTGAAACCTTCAACTGACAACTGTTTCAGTTCATTCTTCTTTATATCGTACAGTACAACACTGCTGAGGCTGTCCGCTGTCTTCGTAATCGTCAGTTAAACATCTCTACAGAGTTAGCTCCATAACCTCCAGCAACAATTACATTTTCAATTTCACCACTTTGTCTATTTTTATTTTTCTTGTGTTTTCTTCTTTCTTGCCCTCATTTGTGATAAGAACATCCCTCATTTCATCAAAAGCTCTGACCAAAGCTGTTTTCAAACCATCGACTTTGTAGTTAACCGCTTCGAGTTTTCCTTCCATATTTTGCTCTAAATTTGTGATTTTTGCTTCAATTGTTGCATTATTTTTCTCGATATTCGCCATTCTTTCCTCGATATCTGCCAAAGTTTTCGTCATTTGTCCGCACGAGTGACACTTCAACTTTCGGAATTCACAGACTTCACTTTCATGGTGAATAAGATCACGCTTGTTGACAATTATACCACAGGCTTGGTTTGTACAAACGGCTGGTGTATATCCACATGTATCTTCATGGCGGTCAAGATGCTGTAATTCTACAACTTCTTGACAACCTCTGTCGATGTAAACGCAACGAATTTTTGATTCATTCAAGATATCCTTTATCATTCTCTGTGGTTCGGCTAAAGTCTCTACGGTCAGTTTATCAGCACACGTTGGGCATGTTTGAGAATTTTCCAGATGTTTCGTAATACAAAATCGGCAAAAAGAATGCTGGTTTCTCGAACACATAACCGGCTCTTTCAACACATTGAAGCAAATCTGACAAAGGAAATTTTGATTGATTTTGTCCACAAACCTTTCTTCGTCGTAGCCTTGTATACCTGAAGCCATATTTCACGTCGTTCTTGTGTCGTAATAATAAAGCAAGTTCTGTGTTGTTTGTCGCTCTGTAGTATAAACCTCGCTGTATAGACTGAATATAGATACAGTGTTCGTTCTTGGACAAGTCTGTGTTTGTATTTTTTCAAACCGCTGCAAAATTATCCGTTCGGAACAGCAGACAAATATTTCTTGGGTGTAAAGTGGTTATAGACAGGAATTTGGTTGCTATGAAAATATGTTATTATTATCACGTCTTGTGACAAAAGGTCATTGACCTCGTGTTGAAATACTGACTTGCAATTGGTTGTGTTTATGTTGCTAGGAATTTCTTATTTCCTTATATGGAAATGAGTTCGAAGAAAATAATACTTTATAGCAACA